GTTTTAATTTGTTACTTTTTATGCCAGGTTTATAGAACTTAATATTTAAAAACATGTATACATAGTACATACTGTATAACATTCTATTAAAATTTTCTATTTTTTCATAGTTTTTATTTATCTTAACCTATTTCAATCATATATTTTTAAGTACCTGTTACATTCGGAATTATAAATCTGATTTAAAAAACGTGTTTCATTTATTATAAAATAATATTGTACTAGAACATCGATAAACGAGATATTACGTTGCCACATCCTTATTTCGGAAGCGAAGTAGTTATTAAAATGGCGGGCCGTCCACGCCATGGTCACAATATGAAGACAGCAGATCAAGAATAGTGTTGTACCTACAGTTATTATATTTAAATATATTGTAGTCTCATATCTGTTATTACGGTATTATACAAGTCTGTAAATAGTGTACAACTATTACTTTAATAGGAAGAAATGTAATGTTGAATTAAATTTCAATGTTATAAGGACATTATATTTCGAAATTAAAGACGAAAATGAAAATAAAATTGATTATCGATGAAGTTTTGGAATCCCTATTTTTTTCGTAGGTATTTGCGGTGAATTTGTGGCCTGGCGTTGAGGGCAAGTTCATGCGTTTTTGCTCTGGCGTTCAAAAGGTTAAGGAAAAAAGTAATACAATTTGAAATAATTTAAAAGGGCAACAGCATCTTGCAAAAATTGCCCCACACTAGGATTTTCTCCTGTGCCGTGGCACAGACAGGTATTTGGACCTAAAAGTTGGCCAAAAATATTTGGTACGCCTAATGGTTGTCAAACGATGTTTTATTTAAGTTTTAGCTTGGAAAAGGTAAAAAAAAAGCGTATGTAACATATACAAGCATTTATTCTTCATTTTTGTCGTCTTCATCAAAACTTAAATTTAAAACGTCACTTTCTAGTAACAAATTTAAAACATCAGCCGAAAGTGACACATTTTTTTTTATTCTTCCTCTTCCTCATGCCCGTCAGGACAGGGTCGGAAGTTAAGAGGAGCCTGTTAGAAACATCTGCGTTGCAGGCTATCCGGGAAAATTTTCTGGCGTAGTTGAGCCGGAACATCCTAATGTGTTTGTTGCGGGCTTCTGCCGCTTCTTCGGACAGTTGTCTAATGGAAAGAATTGCTTCTCTTACCACTGAAGCCCCATGACGCAACACTTTATGCAATGTCGGAGACATTGGGTAAAACTTATACAAAGAAACGTACAACTTTGCCGTTTCTTGGCAATATCTTTCAAACATCTCGCAGTTTATTTTTAAACCACAGCACAATGTGTCCAAAATCACTTTTAATCTATAAATTAAATTTACGTCTATCCCCGTAATTGTCGCTGATACTTCGAAACTTTCAAAAAAACGTCTGCTAGTGTTTCCGTCATTGGTATTTCCAAAGTTGGCTTTTGGTATATCCACCAACAGACCGAGTTTCTCCCGGAACTTATCTTGGATTTCTTTTTTTTTATTTTCCACTGCTTGCTTTTCCTCGGCAGTAAGGCGTACGTTCCATTTTTTTACGGGCAATCTATAGGCCACATGTAAAATACTCTCAAAAAATCTTATCCGAGCATGCAACAAAGATAAGCCGAATTCTAGGTTTTCTTTTTTGCATGGTCTCTCCTTCTCTAAATCATTAAACTGTAATGAATGTAGCACCTCATGGTTGATTGCATACTTTTCCATCAATCATGGCGAAAAGCATTTTATGCTTAATGGAAAAGCTGTTGACTTCGCTTTTAGTGAGCGCTGTTATTTGCGATTTAATATAGTCAATCTCTTCATTTGTCACATCTGTAGTTTCTTTTATGAATCTGATTATTATAGGCCAACAATACCGTGGTAAAGATGGAGTAGGATTTTGCCACAGTATTTTTCTTTCCGGTCCGTAAATCAACTGAAACGGTACCATGGAACTTTGGAATATGTTTGCGTCCGAATCGGTTTCATTTTCAAATTTCATTTTATACTGCATCTGTTGAGATCCATCGCAGCTCCAATTACTTATTAATACTAATGATTGTTTTTCTGCTTCACTCAATTGTTCCACTGCCTCACCAAGATGTAAAATCAGTCGTTGTGCCGTGTGATCCATGAGATTTTGAACCTGTACTTCAGCGCACGTTTCAGTTACTCAGTGGATTTCAGGATCGCTAGATAGGTATTTGAACGTTCCATTATATTAAATAAATCATTTCGAGTCATGACTCTCATTCCAGAAGAGCCTATAACAAAAATACACCAAATATAAGTAAAACTTCAATTACTGAGTATCGAGCGTGTCTAGGGAAAAAAATCACCAAAAATAGAGGGGCACTTTGGGGCGGCTATTTCGTACTTAATTACATCCTAAAAGGTCTATTCTAAAGCTAATCATTACAATTTTGGCTTAGAAATGATGAGAAATATATTAAAACTCCCTTTGATCTTCCAAAATGTGTTTTTTAAAAGCAGTTTCTTGAGGCTTGCTTCCCAAGGGTATAAATAAAGAAAAGCTATAGATTACTTGTTAAAAGTAAGTGCCAAATAAAATACATACCTGGTTGTGTACAATCCATAATGAAAACCAACGCAAAATCGTTCAGTCACAAGATAACAAATATTTCAAAACAACGAAATCTGAGCCCATCGAACAGTCACACGAACACTTTTGGCGAACGGTAACTTCCGACTGAGCCCACGATGTACTGGAAGGGGCTAGCGCTTTGTGTTTTTTGCTATTGTTTGGAGCAGTTATCCTTATTTTTGGAAACAATAGCTTAGAGGGAGTAGAATTAATTTAAAAAAAATCAATTTTGGCCAGCTTTTTGGGCCAAATACCTGTCTGTGCGTGGGTGCGCTTACAAACATACAATATCACATACTGGATCCGTGGATCACACAAAGAGTTGTTCCGTGCGGGAATCGAACCCGCGGCACGTTGCACGGCAGCCAGTTGCCCAGCCCTCGCGCCAACCGTGCAGTCCTTTTACTTTTTTGTTGTTAGTAGGTAAATGAAAAGTAGGTAGTAACGTTTAAAATGATTTTATTTACATCAGTACATATATTTAACATTAATATCGAAGCTATGTCTTTGAATGTTTCTCATAAATCGTTACATGAAAATATTATTTTACGCATTTTTATTACAAAAATATGTAACAGATTCTATTTATTGTAATATTTTTATTAACAGTCGTAATAAAGTTTTAAATTCTGAATCAGTGAATAAATGTTTTTAATGATTATGCAGTAGGCAATACAAAGCAAGAGTTTTTAAAATGTTATAATAATACAGTTCATCCATTTAATGTTGACTCTTATTTCCAAAAACAATAAGATCTATATAGGAGCTATATTTTGAGCTTCATAGATCTTACATTTTGTTTGCAAAAGGTGCCTATTTGTTTCAGTTCCCATTCAACATGTCTTATCTTCAAAGCAATAAAAGCCAAAATTGCGAAAACTGCTAACTTATTTTTGTTTTCAATTTTTTTTTTTTTTATAATAATAAGATAAAGATTCTCTCTCTCTTTCCAGTCAACAAATTATTTCTATATTTAATTTTAATCTATACTAATAGGACAAATAAACAAACCTAGAGTTAACTATAAACTCATTTTTGTAAACTTAAGACAAAATGCATACATTAAAAAAAGACATCACATTTTAATGAACACTGATTACAAAAGAAATATCTTTGGAAAAGATTAATTAGCACTAAATTTAATTAAAAAAGAGCATAAAATATTGTCAAAAAACTGTAACACAAGGATATTCAGTAAGTTTTAAATGAGTAGCTAAGAAACAACATCATTTTCCAGTCCTAAGAAATGTTAAGTAGTTCATTTCAAAAGCTATAGTCAGCCAGCAACTAAAAAGCAAGATAGTACAACAATATGGAAGGAAATTGGAGCTAATATCATTCTCTATTACAACACAACAATTATCTAACAACTATTATTAGTATTCACATGGAACTTACAACAGTTAATATTACACATTAAACGCCACGGGGGTCACCAGTGGCCGCCGTTAGCGGAGGATTTGCCTTCAACAGTTTTTTATTGGCAGTCAAAGCCTTAAAACTTCTTGACACATACTAGATTAAACTGTCAAACTCCAAGCGGTCACCGGTGACCGCAACCTATTGTTCTTTAATTGTGTCTATAAATACGGTACTCGACGAGTTAATTATAATGTTTTCAGCTTACTCACGCTGTTCATAAATATGAGCCTCTAGCATGGCTTGAAACTAGTAGAGTTTGTCATCAAACAGTTTCGTGAGTAAGCCGAAAACTTATAATTAGCTTACAACAAGTAATTGGCTTACATCATTATTTAAGTATTTTTGATATAGTATTAAATATTTTACTTATAAATCTAAAGACCTGTTCCAAAATGCACGATCAAGTTGTTAGCTTAACTGTATTTACATAAATGGTATTTTCACACATGTTCTGTTTGTTCTGAATATACATCAAAGTATCTGTCAGTTATGCTGGAATACTGAAACATTACTCAATTTTAAGTCATGCTTAAATATCGTGCTGTCTCTGTCATTTAGCAAAGAATTTGTAGTGACAGAACTATGCTTAAGCGCAACTTAAATTTGAGTAACATTTCAGTATTTGGGCATTAGACTATTATACGTTTTAACAGACATTGTGGTACAGGGCATTAGACATAACAATTAAATTGGCAACTAAGCTATCACATAATTGCTCTATGTATTTTCTGCAACTAATTTAATTTTTTTACACTTGTTTTAAATTACAATCTCTGCTATCAGTGCCTAAGCTAAGACATTCATCTACACTATCACATACATTATGTACATGACTTTATTTACAAAACATTTATTAGCATTACAATTTGTTATGTAAGCTTTGGGAGATTTTTATTTAAGTTTCGTTATCCCCACTAACATGTGAACAATGATTAGTATTATAGCTTATGCTTAGTGTGCACACTCAAACAATATCACATATTGTTGGCGTGCCAGCATCCTGTTATTTACGTTTGCGATTCTCGTACTCAATGGCCCTCGCTTCAGACACAATCTGCCTCTCCCTAGTCAAGATACCATCTAATTGATCCGTGAAAGCATCAAAGGAGAATTTTGTCTCAAATCTCTTCAATCCAGCCTCACCTAGCTTCTCACCTAATTCAGGGTTCAGTACCAATTTACTCATAGCCTGAGCAAAGGATTTACTGTTAGGTTGGCACAAGAAACCTGTCACTTCATTCACGATTGTTTCTGTAGGTCCACCACTGTTCACAGCAATCACTGGCTTCTTGAAGTACATAGCCTCTAAAGGCACAATGCCAAAATGCTCATTAGATGGAGTATACACCAAAGCCCTGCAGTTGTACAACAGTGACACTTTCTCATCATCTTTGGGAGATTTCATAAAAGTAATTTTATCTTCTATATCCAGCTCAGCCACTAAATCTGTTAGCTCAATATAATGCTCCATATTCTCCAGGTTTATTGGGTCAAATCCACCCGCCATTATTAAATGCACCCTGTTCCAGTCAGCCTCATTCAAAATATGCTTCAAATGCTCAAATGCTCTTATAGCTAATTGAAGATTCTTCTTCCTCTCATATCTATTTATTGACAAGAATATAAACTTATCAGTCCCCACAGGTACAACCTCTTTCAAAGGTTTTGGTATTGTCATCTTAAAGTATTCAGTATTTATGGATGGATAGCAAATGTCAGGTATCTCTTTGATTCTCTGGAATGCATCCTGGTACACCCGGGCAGTATATTTACTATTCACTAGGACTTTGTCTGCCTGTGCTGTCGTCAGTTCTTCCAGCCAGTTCAATGGTGCCCTGTATATCTTCTTCAATAAACCTCCTTCGGAAGTGAGTAATTTATCCGGATGATGACAATAAAACACCACACGAAATGGTCCCCTTGCCATTTTCAAAAATGGAATGCATAGAGATATGAGGTCGCAGAATATTAGAGTCGGTTCTTCATCTGGTATCACGTACCACGCCATGTAAACAGCGGCGTAAACCATGCGTACGTAAGCACACGCGGCTTTGAATCTACCGAATATAGAGCGAGGTATCCAGTCGCCCACAACCGATACAGGAAACGTACCATCTCGTGTCTCAGCGAAGCAGTGCGTAGGATCGTGATGATTCGTGTAAAAGGCTACATCGTGGCCTTTATTCTTGAAAGCAAGCGCAGCGTCTATAACTAACCGCTCAGCACCACCAATACCCAAATCAGGATGGAGAAATATTATCTTAACCATTATTACACTACTTAATATTTTACCACGTAATCCGAAATCATTGAACCGTGTTCAATTTGGTTAAAGATGATTTGTAAATACGGCAGAATACAGAGTCGAAAGATAACATAAATGACACCTTCAACTTCAACTCAACCTTGAATGACGTTGACGTCTTGACTCTACTGACATTGTTAGATCAGTGTTGTAAGTTATTAAAAATACACGAGGAATTAAGTGTTTTCATTAAAAAATATTGCCTAATTTTCAACTTATTGAGAATTACACACTATAAAAAATATTGTGATTAGGTACCTATTTGTGATTCACAAATAACAAAGTTCATAAACCTTTATTCTTGTATTTTTTGATCAATTTTGTACTTTGTATTAAACGTAACTTTTTAATTTGAAGCATTGTTTGATTGATGTAAGAACTAAAACTGATACATAATTCTAACATTTTTAGGACTTGTGTTTCCTAAATAGGCATTCAAATAACAATAACAGTTTTGTAAAATTGATAGGTAAACAGAATTTACTGATAAAAATAAGAACTTCTTATTCTTATAAGAATCCTCATTGATATCTCAGTAACTACTTAACGTTGATGTTATCAGAAACAAGTAGCATATAAAACCACTTCTGCCACTGCTATCAATGTTAGCTCTTCACCTAATATGCTATGAAAGAGGTGACATAGCCATCAATAGTATAATATTAAATCAATAATAATATTTGAGGATTTAATAAAAGAAGCTTGTTTCCTTCAGTAGTACACATTTAATCATAATAAAACATTGTGATTATAAAAGTATAAAGTAATGATTGTTCTTCACTCATAAATTATAAAACATCTGAATTAATATCACATTTACTTAACATAATATAAAATAAATAACTACTGAAGGTTTTTAGGATGAATAATAAATTATAATTCATCCTTCCTTTCAATCTTGACAAGATCTACATGGAATGTTAAAGTTGCAGACTTGGGAATCTTTGGTGGTGCTCCGGCCTCACCATAGGCCAAATGAGGCGGAATGACTAGTTTCCTTTGCTCCCCTTCACACATTCCAATTAAACCTTGGTCCCAACCCTTTATGACCTGTCCTGAACCAAGTGTGAAGGTTAATGGGTTCCCACGGGGGATTGAGCTATCAAATTCAGTTCCATCTTCTAGTGTACCCTGAAAATACAAAGTTTCATACATTAAAGTAACATTCACAATCTATCATAACAGAATAGCTAATAAACTGCACAAGACATTATATCGCATTGAAGATCACGTTAAAACTTTACAAATAGTTACCGTATAATGCATATGAAGAAGATCTCCCTTTTTGCTTTTTATTGGACATTCGCTAGGCCTTTTCTTAACTCCAATTTGCAGTTTTTTAGCAGACGAATCCCCGATCACTACATGAGATATTACACTCATAAAGACCAACACGAACAGTGCAATTTTACATAGTGAAATAAATGCAGGCTTCATGTTTCTTGAGAAGCTATTCCAATCTTGTTATATTTGTAAATACTGATAGAAATCGCAATTATTCACGCGATTTACAAACCCAGTGGATAATTGTCAAAGACGTGACATTTCTCGTTTCAGTAATCAACGTCAAAATTTTCTAGCCAGAGTGCTTGCGAAATTATTAACCAGTCATGACATGCCTACATAGACAATTAGTATTATTAAGCTTTTGCAGCTCTACTGCTCTAGACAACTTTTTAGTAGTTTTTAGCTTTTACTGCTTTTGCGTTTTGGCATCACTAATGGGATGTATGACACCTTCTGTTTTTGTCAATATTTTATTAATGTCATTTTGTCATTACAAAAATAAACAGATTATTTTTCTTATTAACATATTGGTTTAATACAGTGTAATGTATAAGTAATAATATTAAAATAATTATTAAATAAGCATTTAATGTCACCATGTCGCTCAATGACCATGAATTACAGAAATACCAAAAATTCCTACTTAATAGGCAGTCGTCTTATTCAAAACTCGCCGAAAGTATTGAAAATTGCCTAAAAAGTGAGGATAAGGTGGCAAAACACTTTCTGCATAAAGTTATGGTAAAGTTTATTAACCACTTTGATCATATTCTTATATAGTTTATTAGGAATTGGATAAATTTATAACTCTTTATTGTACAACATTAAAAAATTACATTCATTACGAATGTAAACATTTAAGCATCTGTTGTACGATAAGAACGGTTAAGAAGTGTCTAAATACTTTATAATGATAAAATTATTTGGAAAAGAAACCTTTTTGCAATAATGAAATGCATAACCATACTTTTCTCTTCTAATCCACAGATACACAACTGGCAACATACCTTACACCAATTATTCGAAAGAATGCATACATACTTTGGAGTAGCAATAATACCTATAAACTGTTCTACTCAAGGCGACATTGCTACTTTCTATACCTCAAGTCTGACCGTAATATCAGAAATAATTAAGTTTGACTTCATGTTTCCATTTTGTCGGACCATGTACAACATAGATATTCTATTCTACGATAAAACATCTATAGATTTCTTTGGAAAAATGATTACCGTTGAAGAGGTGGTTAATAGTGTTGTAAGTCAGAGATTTAATGAGTTGTGCGAGTTGGACTTGTCTAACTTCTGTGATGATGCAGGTGAGTCGAGAGAAACTTGTAAATATTAGTAGAATTATTTGTCTTATATGTAAGACAAAGGTTTGTATCCGCTTTGACTTGCAATTTATTGTTGAAAGTATTTAAAAGTATATTTTTATCATCAGGAATCTGTAATTTTAATCACCTCTTTTTAACATATTTGCTAATCCCGCACGGTTTCATCTGCTCTACTTGGCTTCTATTGATTACAGTGTGTTGTTTTATAGCCCATAGTTTTCCTTGTTAAAAGGACTATTCAACACAAAAACAGTTTTTCAAATCGGTCCAGTAGTTTCGGAGATTAGCAAGTTCAAACAAACAAAATCTTTGGCTTTATATTTAATTGTATATAATTAATATACTTAGTTAAAGTATAATGAAATTATTTTACTGAACGTCTTTTATTTATGACTTTCAGAATTTACCAGTAAAAGAATATTTTTCTTTAAAATCTCTCTGCTTGCCAATTTTAAAATACTAATGCTGAGAATGGGAAGAGACACAAAGATTTTGAATTTAAGCCACAATAACTTAAGGTAAGTTGGTTGATTTTTTTTTACTGTAGTTACTACAATTTTAATATGTGCACCACCAGCTCTTTAGCCTCTGGTCTGTTGGAATGCAGATCTACGTGAGACATGATGTCTTCTATTGTGTCATGTATCAACAGGCTAGAAGTTAAAAGGAAACCTTAGTTTTTTGAGAATGCCAAAGAAAGGAGTGTTGTGTTCTACTGTTAAATAATAATAATAAAATAAGGCGTACATTTTACCTAGTAAATTCTGATTGTAGGTAATTTTCATTTTAATTAATGATCATTCTTATTATTTCTATTCTTTAAAGTAATTTTTATAAAGACAGAGGAAAGAAAGAAAAAATAAAGAGAAAATGTTTGCATCTATTAGATTATATTTTTTGTGGAAATATGCAATATAGGTTAACAAAAACAAATTTATGATTTCAGTGTAGTACCACTAGATGTCTTGAACTTCTTCATAAAGGCAGATTTAACTGCTGTAAACTTCAGCCACAACAATGTAAGTTTCTATTCTTTTTTAATTCTTTACTTTCTGACACTGGGTAAGTAACTTTAGTACATTTATTTGTACATTTTTCTGTCAAAGGAGATTTTTTTTTTCAGAAATTTCAAAAATGCTTAAAAATGTATAGAGTCATGATGATCTCCTTCAGTGTATTTCTTATGGAAGTCTCTCCTAATGAGTGTTTCATACTAAGCAAGAAACATACCTATTTTTCAAAGTCTATCTCTCATTGATTCTGAAAGTAAAACTTACCAAATTCTGCCAAATACAGCTTGGCAAAAAAAAGTTTGACATGATGACTGCTAGAAGTGGAACTTACATTAATTTGGACTGAATCACCCACTTCGGACCATATCCCATGAATAAACAATGATCTGAAAAGTGCCTCTTCTTTATAAACTTGATAACAATAAAAATATCAAAACCGATTAAGTCGTAGCGTAGGTTGCCAAAGACGACACTAGCGACCTCAAGTACTCCAAACTTTTTTTACCCAGCTGTACCTTTTAATTATATTTTTCATGTTATCAAACTAGGACTTTACTGTAGATATAACAAAATAATTAATTGTTTATTTCTTTTTGCAGATTCCCTCAATCGCCGAATTATCCAGAGTCAGCAGTAAGATAGAGAAGCTCTGGCTTGAAGGCAATCCTTTATGTGCTGATTTAGATCCGGTCACCTATGTCAAAACAGTTACTATGAAATTTCCTAGACTTACTGAACTGGTAATGTTTTTTAATATATTTTTCGTTTGACTGTCTCTTTAGTAACATGACAAGCAAGCAACATACAAGTGAAATTACCAACCAAATAGATTGGAGTTTTGGAATTAGATTAACCAAAATAGTTATTCAGATATTTTTACCTTTTCAAGTATAATAATACTACAAATATAATGGTATAGTAATATACTATTAGTAGTTTAAACGAATCTAGCATGGCGTCCGGTATGTGGCAATAGCTTTAGAATCCAAATCTACAACAGAACAGTGTACAAATATTTCAATCTATAAAAGTTTTACAGTTTACTTTAAATATTGAAAGTGCTATTGCTAGGCTTAGGATATATATATATATATATAGGCCTCATAGCTAAAGGCAAGATTTTTTAAAAAGAAATTGACAGGTCATTTGTGGTAGGACATTCCATTACGTCACTGACTGATTAATCTTGAATTTTTTCATAGGAAAAGCACAAACACATTTTAATTTTATAAATACTTAATTCTTCTTTCAGGACGGTATACCGTTAAATCAAAATGGTATAGTGTATCCATTCTACAGAAACTATCTGTGTGTTCCGGACAGGAGAACTAAGATGTTAGTTGAAAAGTTCGTCACGTTATATTTCTCGAACTATGACCAGCCACCGAAGATACGGAAGAAAAAGATTGAACCGCTGTATGATGAAAACGCTGTGTTTACGTTGACGTGCGACTTGTCCGGTAAGTTATGTTACGATCTTGTAACTAGTTAATATATTGTATCCTAAAACTGCAACCATATATCAAAGACAGTACAGAGACATACAAAAATAGGAACCTGTTGCATCCGTATAACAATTGTGTAACATTTAATTAATGAGCCTACAATTCTACGCAGATTGAATAGAAAATATCAACAAAATCTGACTCATATTAGTGGACATGGTTCCGAATAAAATTATAACTATAATAGTTCAACATAGAAAGAAGATAGTAGTAAAGACATATTGCATTAAAATTAAAGTTACCATGGGGAGGGAGGCACTTTAAATTTTCGGTTACCTAACTAAAGTTCGGAAATTGCAAGTGAAAAGAAGACATGACATTTTATATCTGTTAACCCTTCATTGACCAAAAGACATGATATTATGTTTTAACTAAAATAACTACTAACCTTTTATCTGTTGAAACACCGGCTCCCGGTGTAAAACACATTATACCCGCAACTTTTAACTAAGATATATATAATATATAACAAATAAGAGGCTGTAGGGACACATGTATGAATGCGAGGCAGAGTGCAAGGTAAGAAAATTGTATGTGCACCTGATGTATGCTTTGGACGACCAGTTACTGCGCACTGGTCAGGGCGAACGGTCCTCTCTCTCTGGAATCACGCGAAATATATTCGGTTGACATAACCCGATTTTCATTGACTCCAAAACTCTGAACCAGAAGGAGCAGTGCTCAAGTAGAGATTACCGTGAACATTACCCGTGTTGTATAATCCCTAATAGGCTAAACATTTTTTCTCAATTCCAGAAGCTGATAAGTTATACTACCACTACACACAATGCTCGCGCAATATGATGAACCCTTGCAAACGACCGGTGTACGTGCAGGGAGCTAAGACGTATACTACTAAACAACACATCAGCAATATCCTATCGACCTTCCCTGAAACATTGCATGATAGGAGCACTTTTACCGTCGATGTGCTTGTACATGATGTGAGTATATACAAATATGATACAAGGTGTTGTTTTAAAGCCGCGTCATTTTCTAGGGGGTAACTTGGCTATCGATTGAGTCCGAATCAATAAAAAAAATGTAGGTAAATATTTTTCACTTTTCTGAAATTACGGAAATCCGTAAGTGCAAAGTACACGCCGCCGACTTATAACTAGCTTTATAACGCGGCTTAACACACACAAAGTCCAACACGTAATTGATATTATTCCTAATTCCTTAAAACTCCAATAAAAACATTGCTGTCGCTTATTCTGAAATACTGTTGAACTTAAACGATTTATTATAGCCTTTTTTTACTATTGGCCCGAAATTTTCTCTTACATTGAACGTTTATGACTTCTGTGACATGCCCCCGAGAAATGACACGGTTTTAAAATTAAACCTTGTATAAAATATAACATATTTGTTGTTCATTTGCCTCTTTATAGGATTCCAATCGTGAGTGCTGAGTTAAAGGATTGAATCTCAGGTCGTGTAGTGTTATTGGGTGTTTTTCACCTATTAGAATATTTCTTACTTCTCCTTATGTTCTAAAATTGCGATGGATAAACTGTAGCATTACCTTAACGTTCAGTGACTAATTGTGATCCCAGGCCTTTACGAAATAATTAAAACTAGCTTTTACCCGCGGCTTCGCTCGCGTCACAAAAGGATAAAAAGTAGCCTATGTGACATATACAAATACATACAGCGCCATCTATACCAATACTTTTATTTTTCCTCGGTAATATAAATTTTTTCGGGATAAAAAGTACCCTACTATTTAATCCAGACTACTAACTTTACGTCTGCAAAAATTCAATGCAATCGGTTTAGTAGTTACGGCGTGAAGTCGGAACAAACAAACAAACAAACAAACTCACTTTCCGATTTATAATATTATATAGTAAGGATAAACTCTTTACGGGCGAACTATATAGTAAGTCGACTGCTGTATACAGGCTGCATTCAGCAGGAACGCAGTAGACTTATTCTAGTTGATGATAATGATGACTCATGCAAGTTTAAAGTTATGGCAATGGTTTTTGTTACAGAAAAAGTCACTACAAATTGTCATCGATGGAATTTTTAAAGAAAAATACAGCGGAACAATGTTTCAATTCAGAAGGACATTTATTTTCACTATCTATACTATTAGAGATAACTCTGTATATCATATTACAAATGACATGTACTCAATTACATATCCTAGTAAGGAAATAATCAGTACAAGCTTTTTGGTAAGTATCTTGTCTTATTGATTTGCTACTAACGGCTGAATCATGTAATAAGCGAATTCAATTCAGAATCTTTAAATGTAGATTTTGAGCTGAGATTGGTTATAATTTCCGACCGCAAAATGGTTAAGTGGTTAGGATCTGTATGTACCAATAGAATTGTTTAATCACCCGAGATTTTTTATGCTTTCAAATAGTATCGTCTATTGTGCTACGTTTTTCCGGGTAGCAAAAATGAAACCGCTGGTCGAAGTTAATTAAAAATCTTTCCTAAATAAGTATTTGTAAGTACGATTTGTTATATTTGTTTCAGCATCCAATAAGAAATATGAATTCTCTATCACTAATAAATCCTACTCCTGAAAAGAGTGATGCATTAATCAACGCATTTCAACATCTCACTCAATTGAGGAAAACTGAAGTTGAATTGTAAGTATACTTTATGTACAGTACTAATACTTTCAAATCTTCAAATCTAGAAAGGAAAATTCCTTGCCTGCCTTTATTATAGGTACTGTTTTCCTTTAATGTAGTTATGAGAATATAAAATATGTAGGTAAAGGCTCAATTTACATAGGGAGGGAGGAAAGGTGCGGAAGTGCCAGTGGAAATGATAATATACTCCAGTATATTAAAGTTCAGTAGAAGGTCCACCTTCTACTGAACTTTAGGGCTCGTACAAAACTGCGATGCGACGCGATGCGAATTCGCAACACAAAAAATTGCGAATTGCTGCGATGCGAATTCGTGCGACAAGGCGTCTCCCAAAGTGACCATTCCTTCGACGACCGATCGATACTAAACGAGGTCGTGACATGGATTGTAAAAAGAAGTATGCACTTCTGTTATTGCTTAGGAGATACAGGAAAGACACACAAAGAAGATTTTGGGAAGATAAGATTTTGATGCGCGATGCGAAACAATTGGCTATTTGACTGTTGTAACAACAAAATATAAAATATGTTGTTTACGGTTGCTTTCAAATTAAACTTAATGTTTTTTATTTCATTTAAAATTCTTTTAATATTTTATTTTTGGATAATAATCTGAGATTGGTTTGTCTGTGGATAATAATGAGCAAAACGGTCATGTCATCATGACCTCACATTTCAATAAACAAATAGTTCCCCATCTTTGTTCTTGTATTTATCTCTGAAAATAATACGCTTACCATTTTAATTTGTGCTTTTTAGAAGTTTAAGGAAATTAAGTGAAGATCGGACAGCTCAAATCTACTTAAAGTTTATTTACACTGATTTCTTTTAAATATACTTACATCAAAGTGGTCTTCAATAAAGAGTATCGCAGATGTATCAGATGTAAACTACTTGTTTAGGCGTGGTAGTTTCAACCATTACTTAAATTACTTTCGACGATTAGGACATTTAGGAGCGTTTATTTATTATATATTTTTGGATTTTTAATCTTATTCCTTCTACATATAGACACGGCACACATTTTGAAACTTACCATTTTTACAATTATATGAAATATCTATGTCAAATGTTGTTTCCACTCATTCATATGAGAAACCGCTTTTTTTGTTTATTAGAATACGACGTCATAGCTCGGAGAGGTCACGTGATCGAGTGTTAAAGCGCGAATTACAAATCGACAAATAAAAAAATTATTATTTTCTCCATAAAATAAAACTTTTCTGATGAAAATATAATTGTATAGGATTTTAAATGAAAGTATGTTAACTATAAAATATTTTCCCGGAAATTGTCAAGTAGCCAATTCGGAAGTTCTTACGATGCGTAGAGGGAGCTCGCACATTTTAGCGATGCAACGTTGCATCGCAGTTTTGTGTACAATCCCTTATTGCTACAACTTGAACATGAGAAGAGCTTCTTTTTCTAAATGAAATTGTTAATTTTATTGAAACCCGTATGGTAAACATTGTATTTATATTTCAGGCGCCTAAAATACCACGGCTGGGATATCCGGGATGCGTTGAAAAGCTTCATGGTAGATGCAAAAAGTAAAAAAATGCCATCAGATTTGTTTATGGATTCCGATTTCTCTGACAGTTCGTCGCTATTGGACGAAGTTGATTAAAAAATAAAATTATTATTGATTTGAAATGTAAAATACTTTCATTTACCTGTTTAAAATATTTTTAATCATAAAAAATAAAATAATTCTAATCCTGGTCTTGATACCATTTCTACGTTTATAATTAATTCATAATATAATTTTCCAATGTTTCAAAATATTTCTTTTTATTATTCTTAATCGCATTTAAAAAATTACGTCTGTCAAGTAATATTTTAATTATTAAAACGAAAAATTTAGTCGATTAGTATTATTATTTGGCGTGCCAAAAGCCTTGTATTTAAACTGAAGACAAACAATAAATAGTTTATGTCAATATATATTGTCTGTGGTCTGTGAAATTGTCAAGCAGCGAACGTGAAATCGTCAGTCGTGCTTGTTTTACAATAAAGCGTCATAAAAATTGAAATCCGAATTGTGATCAGAGTTCTTGCTTGATTAAATAAAATAAATTGACATTCATTCAAAATGGCTAATAATTCTATGGGACAAGGTGCTAATATGCCAACGATAGGAACGATAAATCAGGGAACTATTCAGTACGTAAACAATCCGATTCAAAGTCCTCAGCTGCAGGCTAGTTCGATCCAGGGCTCACCATCACAGCACAGTCCTATGGGTACACAGTCTCAGGTTGGAGCTAAAGCCAACCAAAGCGGCGGTGGAGATCAGACGACGCAGGTATGCATACACATTCATACATATTTGTGCTGAGATAGTTACTTCAACCTACTTATGGTATTTTTCTGGGGTAATGAATGAATGGAGGAATGAAATGAATCAATTTCCTATGTTCTAAAGTAGTGCCACCCTCATTTCAAACGGTAATTTATTGCTTTATTATGAATAACATCAATAATTAAAATTATTTACTTAGTAGGTAGGTACTAGAAAATATTTACTGATACATAAAATGCTACAAAATACCACAAAAAATAACATGACATTGTAAACCTTAGTTTTCATATGAATGATTGTATAGAAGAGACTATTTCTTACACTATCCATAAAAGATGATCCTTCTATATACCTTTTTGTCAAGTGTTTGTTATATGAAAGACTCCATTAAATTCCAGTTGCTAAGCCGACCCCGTCTTCAAGAGTTAGTCCGTGAGGTGGACCCCACAGTACAGCTTGATGAAGAAGTTGAGGAGATGTTGCTGCAGCTGGCTGATGACTTTATTGACACCACTTTGAATGCTGCTTGTGCTATGGCTAAGCACCGGCATGCTCCCAATGTTGAGTTGAAAGATGTACAACTTCATTTGGGTGAGTAGACAATTTAAATCATTTTGTTTACAAGAAATATATGCAACTTATATTCACACTAGCAGCCCGTCCCGGCTTCGCACGAGGTAGAGAATTATTTATTTTTTTGAAATTTGGATTGTTGTACTGGCATAACTACAATAGCTGGACGTATGCTACCACGGAGTATTTTGTAGGCATTATGACGTTCTTCAATATTGTTGTACATTATTTTGTTCTATCGCTAATAGTTTTGGCAGCGCATTCGACGAAAGACATTTTAAGACTCATTTTATACACCTTCGGTTGCATTGTTCAAATTTTACCAAGGATCCCTATTTTTTTGCAAAATGAAATGTAGCCTATATCAAATTGGAAGAATGTAGCATTCTATTGGTGAAAGAATTTTTTAAATCGGCCCAGTACTTTTTGAGCCTATTCATTACAAACATACAAAAATAGGTACAAATCTTTCTTCTTTATAATATTAGTATAGATGACATAACATCACACCTTTTATCTCCGAAGGGGTAGGCAGAGTTGCACATTGTGCTCCACTTAATACCAGTGTACAGTGTAACACCCACTTTTCACTGTTATGTTATGAGTCTTATGTAATAGGGGGTGAGCCTCAATTGCTATAGGTTAGGTATATGGCAATCCATATACTGGGCACTCCAGACTCCATGCAACAACTGAGAATTACAAAAAAAAAACCAGTTATACTTTGCCCGTCCCGAGAATCAAAGCCCGAGACCCCCTTGCCCAGCAGTCGCACTTGCAACCTCTTGGTTGCCGAGGCAGGCTACTTATATTCAAAGAATACAGTATTATAGTAGAATCTTTTACATTTATTTTGATCTATTCAGGCAGGCAAACAATTATAGGTTTTACCATGAGTTATTGCTGACAAAATCAATGTCTGAGTAGAGTAAAACAGTAAATATTTACAAAATGGTGATGTTTGGTTTATAACAAATGGTAGAAAGAGTTGTATTTGAATGTTCTCAACAGAAAAGAATGCCTGATACCGAATTTCTTTCTATTATGTTTCTTTGTATACTTTTTAATATGAATTGAAACTCATAAAATGTTATCAATATTCCAGAACGACAATGGAACATGTGGATCCCAGGATTCGGTAATGATGAGCTCCGGCCGTACAAGCGTGCAGCTGTCACTGAAGCACACAGGCAGCGCATGGCACTCATCCGCAAGACCATCAAGAAGTACTAATAATACTTACAAATATTATCTGAAGTTTTTATTTCTAAGTGTTTAGGTTATTGTTTTTGATTAAGATGTAATATAAGTATGATTAAAGAAAATTCAAATTTTTACGTAACAAATGTGTTTTTGTATTGGTCAAGGGGGGAGGTCATGACCCCCATGACCTGGATTCGCTGATTGGCCACTTGTTAATATCATAAGTGGCTATAAAATTGCCGTTTTGTATGAAAAAATTGAAACGAATTTTTTTAATGTATTTTTTATTTGTATAAACAGAAGTAATCACACATGCAATCAATGCATCTTTGCCAACTTTGTGGTAGTTTATTAATGCCGTCCTCAAAGAGAAATCAGCGATACGGGACGCATCAAATTCTTCAAAGGCATTTTGTACTGGCTCTGGAGCTATTCACATTCTGGAAAAAGTAGTAGTCGGTAGTAGTAGGCGGGCCCATGAAGGGGTTTCGGTAGTTGCTCGAGCGCGTCACATTAAAATATGGGGGAAACTAGTGTCACGTTGAATATACCCACCATACATATGATCTGGGGGCTTACCTACTCTTGAATCCAATTCCGATCGATTTACATTGGTATTGTGAAATTTCGTACTCTTGAGTTGCAACACTAGCGCCCATTGCATCCATATTGCGTGGATATTAAATGAACTAAACGGTATTGAGTTTGGCTTTATATTCCGTACTCCGAATACTATTTTAACAGCTACGATAGGGGTTGTGTAGTGTTGACATTGAATAATTATTGAGGTTTTATTGGATTGAAATTGCATTGACATTGAGATTGGTTTCAAGAGTAAGCACCCAGAAGGAAGACGTAAAAATATGAAAAAAAAAATATTAAATAAAGTCAGTTTCCTCAGATTAAGGGAAGAGAGGTCGACAGCATGCTAAAGGAAGTGCGTTTAAAAAATCTGCCCATTCGAACTTAATTTGCAAGAGTGGAGGGATTAAAGGCTTCTCGTTTGTAGTCTCCAGAACATTCAACCGTCTATGCAAACTGGCAGATTAAGAGATTTTCATTATCAAAGACACATGGAGCATGTAATGTATACCTACTATCAATATCTGACACGCTGGACCACGAGAACAAAAGTTACGCGTAACAATTTCAAAGATTTGTGGATTCTCCCTTCCCCCACAGGTGGAAGAAATTGTCACTAAACCATTTTTTCTTTCTATCACCATATCTTCCTAAATCCAACAGGTCCCAACGACGCTCGAGTAAAATTAAATCCAAATTTAGTATTTCCCCTACTATAGGTGCAAGGCCTGTTGAGTAGGGTGGATGACGGAAATCTTCTAATATCAGTACTTGCAACTTGGAGGCCGTCTGTTGTGCAGTAACTATGAGGTCGCGCGTTGTCGTGCGGTGCAGTAGAGACGAGCGGTTGACCAAGTAATGCTCGACCCGTTTAATAAGAAGCTATGATGAATCACACCGGCGCTAAACCACCAAACAGAACAGAAATTTACGAACAGAACAAAAGTGATTGAACATCACTTTTCTTGGGGTAAATTTTCGTTTAGAACATTGTTTAGGTGCTGAAACAGGATACAACCAACTTGCTGAGCGTTTATCAAACAGATTCATTTTTCCGCGAGGCTTATTTTTCAGGTCGCAAGGAGAAGTTACAACTTATAAGTGGTTGTAACTTCCAAAGAAAATTACTCCACGTTCGACAGCTGAGAAAAATATCTCAAAAAATAGATAAAAATAAGTATTACTAATTTGCATTTCTCCGATTGTCATACTTACTGGTTATCATACCTACTTAGAAATTGCTCCAAATATTATTTCAGCCACAGTATTACTCATCTTTTACTGTCAATCATGCAATACTCTAACGATCATAAAAAGTGGAATAAAGATTAAACTGTCAAACACCAAGCGGTCACCGGTGACCGCGACCTATTGTTCTTTAATTGTATCTATAAAACCGGTACTCGACGAGTTAAACAAATTAACATCTGTGTCATTCTAAATTTATTTGCATTATTAGGTACAAGGAAGATGTGAAGAAAAAATAATATAAAACTTATTTATTCCTGTTCTACATCAATGCTGCTTCAAAAATGCGCTGGGTGTCTATAAACATATTTACACCTTACACCTCAACCAACCAAGATAATACAAAAAAATCATTACAGGAATGCAGACTCCCAGTGTCCTACGTCCTCTCTGACTGCCTCGTTGACCGAGTGGTCGCAAGTATGACTGCCGGACAAGGGATCTCAGGTTCGATTCCTGAGTCGGGCAAACCACTGGTTTTTTTTAATCTCAGTAGTAGCACGGAGTCTGGAATTGTGCACGATATATGCCAATAGGCTCACCCTCTATTACATGGGGCTCATAACATAAATAGTGAAAAGTGGGTGTTACATTGTACAGTGGCATTAAGTGCTGTAATGTGCACCTCTGCCGACCTTTCAGAAATAAAAAGCGTGATGTTATGTTATGTAATTGGTTTTTGATCTTATTGTAAAACTAAAATGAAAAGTTAGAATATTACAGGTATTCTGCCTCAGAATTGATATTTAGAGCATTTTTTTATGTGCTAGGCACTACTGTGCCACTAGCCAGCAAATATGATCACCGAAAGTCATTTTCATCTTATATCATTTTTTTTACACTTAGTTTTAGCGATTTTCTGAGATACCTAGTTATCTTTGCTGTCGAAAGTGGGGCATTTATGCTACTTCTTATTTCCAGAACAGAAGCGAGCAAACCAATAAAAGGTGGTGCGTTGGTTTGTAGTATTAGCTCCGCAAACATCGTTGATGTTGCGTGCCGCTTGTGCCGCGTGGCTGCCACGAAGGTTCTCGTATTCCTTATTTGATTTTTAACGTATTCATATTGACGAAAAAAATTGAAATGCGATGAAAATGTAACACTAATCAATAACTCACTATCAAATGACTACTTTTGAAAAAAAAACTAAAATAGTTTGAAATTAGAATTCTGAGCCAAATGAAAATTATTTAATTTGAAATAGCCACAGTACTGTAGAACGGCAATTTCATATTTAAAGATATTATTTATCACAAAAGGAAATCAAAATTTTTACCACTAATAATATTATACTATCTTATACTTGGCCTAGGATACTTGGGTATCCTCGTAACAACTTAATACGTCATGTAAATATGAGGGGGGAAATCATCCAATGACTTCTCCCGCCTTGGGTTAGGCGAGAGGGAGTGTCAAAGTCTTACTGACTAAAAACCACCCAGTTCTTGCTCCTGCTCTAGCCTTCTGGGCTTCTTCTGTGGTGGTCTAATTGCCCTTTGGGGCGCTTCGTACGCACGAGTCTGGATGTGGTGGCAAGCTACCCTTGCTCGCCGTCCGCAGACCCGCACTTATGGTGACCGGAGACCGTCGCGACTCCCGCGACGGGTGGGACATGAAGAGGTTTGTTTCTTCGCGGGCCCCGCCTCCTCCTTGGTTAGTATGAATGCTTCGCAGGCAGGAGGAGACGGCATACCAATCCTCTTCGACCCGCACCATGGCTTGAACCGGAGCAGGGCGTAAGACTATACGAGGACTACATCGCTGAGGTCACGGCAGTACTCTGGCGGTGAGCACTGCCGTGACCTCCATGCGATCCTCGCAGTGATGACACCCGTTCGTTTCCTCCCACCCAATCCGAAACAGGAACCTAATGAAACTTCTGTGTCCGGTAAGCACCTGCGTCAGGCGGTAGGTGAAGACGTCCCGTAGCGTCCCTTAAGCAGCTCCTCAAAGAGGAGACTTACCGTTGCAATGACAGCCACCCCAGCCCTCAGTTGCGACAGTCGTTACTGCCATTTTGCCATTAGATCGCGCCAAAGCTCATCCCACCACGCCCTAATCTGGCGCGGCAACGGAGTTTCGCCCTAACGAAGCGCGTCAGCGAGTGGCAGTTGGCTTGTGGCCATACAATTTGATGTGTTAGAAGTTAAAATATTGATTGTTCCGTTCCACATAGGTACAATGTTGCTTTAGCATTTCTGGTACTGCGTTTAGTAGTTAGTACTCTGTTACTTTGTGTTACGTCAGGTGTCTTAGGTGCCATTCCTGCAACGACCAGACATCGGATATTTTTCGGTATTTCGAATATTCTTATTAGGAAATGAAACCCCGATGTACGAGGCTGGTGAAATGCTGGTTTTAATTAATTAAGTATGTAGCTACTTCTGATGAACTCTTCAATGCTTTAAAAGAGTTATGGGTATAATATACATATATCTCTTCTTCATCTGACTGAACACTTCACCTAGGGTTCTAGGCTAGAACCCACAAAATTAATAACAAAGTTTCTATACATATGTGGATTACAAGTATGTGTTGCTCTCGTCCGTGCGTCACTGCAGCGGTGCCAACTGAAAATCAGTGTTGGGTGCTCATTGTGCCCAGCTTTATGCTGAGTTGGTGACCCGTTCGGATTGGACATGTCCGCCAACACCGCGCACTTGAATGGCTTATTGGCTTGTTTTAGTTCTAGTTTTAGTTTTATAATTTAACTTTTATCTTTTAATTTTTCTGTTTTTATACTTTTTTATATTTATATGTCTTTTCTGGCGTGCATGTCTTATGCCGAATAAACTTATTTCATTTCATTTCATTCATTTCATGTAATTAATTAAAAAAAACAACAAACTATTTTAAGACACGATTTATTTAAATTGTTTTGATAATTAAAAATACACAATGAACATGACAAAACTGAAAAAATCACAAATAAATCACATACTTAATTTAAGTATAAAAATGGTCATAAATAGTAAAAATACTTAACACAATACTGGTTGGAAACAAAAACAAAATCACAGACATTATGGTGCACTGTTAGGGATACACAGACAGATCAGCATTATTTAGGATAGTTAAATAGTTTAATAAGTATTCAAAATAATTATAGTAGATTTTATATAATATGGATTTCTATAAAACATGAAATTGTTACAAAACTTAAAATTTTTACATTTGGAAGTTAGAGTTCCAATAAATGTTGCCAGTATTAAAAATACTTTTTGAATTATTTCTTCCATGCCCTTATAAAGAATAAGTCTAAAGAAAAAAGTTCTAGGTAATAATCATCTAATATACGTGTTTTGACAATATTCTTTACCACAGAAATATTAAAAAATTCTTTAATATATGTTCTTTATACAGCCCGATTTTGCTATTCTGTCTGAGCGAGTCCCTTTCACAATAAATTAATTCACACAATTTTTTTATGGTAGGAAGTAGGTATACAGAAATATTTTGGAATGCATAAATACTAATATCGATGCTAAAAGACACACATTTGTTAATGAATTTACGACCAATATGATATTATAGCCAATATTATCTAACAGGCAAATAATTTGTTTTTACTAAACTAAATTATCCTAAGTCATGGCTAAGCCACATAGTTTTTGTGATCTAAAGTTTTAAAACGACTGAAATTATCCTATAAAGTGTTTATCTAAACAAAATCTAGGAATATTATCTAACATCTTTGTTCATATTGATCTGTCATAGGCTTGCCACTATAAAAAAGTAGCTTCATGATTACATTTCTCTTGCATTGCTTGAATTATTAGTGACAGATTAAATAATCTTATCCTAATAATATAAAACTGAATCTTCAATTAAATACACGTCGTTTATCGTCACACGTAATCCTAATTACACAAATTAAACATTTTAAGTAATTAATACAAGAACATTTAAGTACAGACCGTTGACATAAATAAACGTCAAACTATCTGTCACTGTCACACTTGACAGTTAATTCATGTGTAACACAGATAAAAAATAGCTCAACATTTATTTACCTCAGCATACCAGTCTCTATTTTCAGTTCGATTTGCCTAAAAAAAAGTAAAAATTGCTTTTGTTCTAATACTTAGATGCAATTAAGTGACACAGCACTTGTATAAAAATACTTGATAGGCTTCTATCAAGTGCAGACCGACCATTTTTTTGTCGTCTGTGGTGTTTGTAGAATATATTTGCTATAGCATCAGGCAATTTGATTTAAAAGCTGGTGTTTATGCTATAAGGTGTTACAGCCTACCATACAATAAGACGGTCTAACATTTTGTGGAGCCTAACCGCGTGCTATGAATTGCAGTTTATACTTTGCAGGCAGTGTCCCGTGGTGGGATGAACAGATGGTCTGAAGGGCTGATTTTCTTCCAGTGAAGAGACTTAGACTGGATCGTCACAGGTTCCTGGAAAAAAGAGAGACATTTTGTTATTAAAATACTCTTTCTTATTATACATGTTAATTGCTTTGAAGTATGAATTTAAATACTTGTTAGTTAAGATTTACATTTTGTGTCTTTCTACAATTTAAACATAAAATTCTAATATTAAAATCATATCCATCGTTCTGAACTAACTACTTCAGAGAACACTTATAATACAAAATGTTTTCTAAGAATTTCTAATTGCTCACTTAGATACCTTACTATATAACACATCTAGTCAATAAATAACTTAAAATCAATAAACACCTTAGTAAGAGTGATTCATAACATAAATATTGCGCCACCTGCCACCTAGTTCTCACAACGTGGCCTGATGAGTTGGCGACTCATCTTAATGATACCTAGAGCTTAATATACCATATTGCACTACTTTATTGCCATTATGATAATATGATAAAAACATGATGAAATAGACAGGTAAATTAGGATATTCTAGTTCTCATTGGTGATTATCATTAACCACGTAGAAATAGGTCATATTTTTATAACTAGATACTTATTTGAAAAAAAGATCTCCTTAGACAAAATATAACTACACTAGCGACACGCTCCGGCTTCCCACGGATGCAATATGCATGTATTATACATATAAACCTTCCTTAAGAATCACTCTATCCACTTAAAACAACCGCATCAAAATCCGTTGCGTAGTTTTAAAGATCTAAGCATACATAGACAGACAGACAGCGGGTAGTGACTGTTTTATATGCTATGGTTTTTCTTTCTTTCTTTCTTTCTTATACTATGTGGTGATAATATTTTTAATTGATGCAGTTTATTCCCCGAAGTGGCAAAGTGAAGTTTTGTCAACACTTGGGGATCATAGTTCCCCAATTTAAACCGGTCAAGTACGAGTACCAACACGTCCTTAGAAAAAGATAACAATAATAATGTTGTATCATAAAAATAGGCAGTCTCCGTCCGACTCATAAAAAATAAAAATCGAAAAGTAAATAGGTAATAAAAGAATAGAATAATAGAATGCATGTGTACTATTAAATAAAAGTTGGTTCTAATAAATAAATTCGCAAAAACGGTATAATTTATTTGCAAACTTTCAGTATTTTCCGAATTTCACAACACTACGAAAGGGACCGCGTAAATTGGCAACTCAATCGTCCGGTTCCATGGTGTAATGGTTAGCACTCTGGACTTTGAATCCAGCGATCCGAGTTCAAATCTCGGTGGAACCTGTCTCTTTTTGTATAATGTTTTGAACATTCTTCGAAGTTAGCGATAAGCGAGTTCTCTACGTAAATAAATACAAAACGAATTGTTGTGAAATTTTAATGCGTAGTGAATTCAATGTTTATTGAATGGAACTTGTCCTACTTTGTATTGGAGTACATAGTTTAAATTGTATTGTTTACAAATACAAGAATTTCCCGCAATGAGTTCATTTCATTGAAAATAAATGTCCGACATAAACTTTGTAGATGACGTAAAGAAAAATCTATATACATCAAAATTGTAAGGCCAGTTTCCGAGACACGTGAAAAAAATGTAGAAACAGTATTATCACTATATATATTAACAGAAAGTCATGCGTACATGACTTTCTGTTTTAAACATCGTACTGTTACTTCCAAATTTGAAATTACCGTTATTTTTCTTTCTCGTGTTGTCCCTTTCTTTTCAAAGTGTATTGCAGCGACGGATATAGTTTTTAAACGTGGAGTTTTGGTGGATTCTGCGGCCTATATCGTATCGAATTTTTTAGAAAGTAATATACTGCGCTATCACAAAAATAAGTTGCATTAAGTATTATCATTTATCTATTTGAATACGGTGTGTGAAAATGATGATAGCTATAATAGCTTAAATAAAGAATTATTATCGTATAAGCGATTTCATGTATAATCGATATAATTACGAGTTTTAGGAAACCACTTTTTGTTGTAACTAATCGATATTCGTGACTCTTCGTTAACTATAATGGCTTTTTTGTAAGATTTGTTAATAACTTGCCCATAGATTTGGCGTAAACAAATCCTATTTTGGTCGACTAACAGATTACTCGACTAGCCTAGATAGAAATCATACCTTGTATTTTATATTTTCTGTTTAGGTTAGGACCTAGACCTAACCTATTCCTGTCGGTTAGCTACGTTTTCTAGTAATTTCCTCGGCAATTTTCCTTAATTATTTATAATCTACGTTCCTCAAAGGTCATAAGGTCCTTCGGATACGGATGGAAACTTCAAAGCAAATTACTTTAATAAGCACTGTAATTTAAAACCTAATTGTTTTATACCAGTAGATAAAACGAATTTTATTTAAAATTATGGTAGGTACCCTATTATTTAATCCGGACTTCTAACTTTACGCAATAAAGTTCTTATTCAAAGCAATCGGTTGAGTAGTTACGGCGTGAAGGTGGAACAAACAAACAAACAAACAAACTCACTTTCTGATTTATAATATTATTAGTAAGGATAAATTCAACTTTATTGGAACAGGATAAAGTTGAAAATGTGCTATGCGTCCATCATGTCACAACGTTACGTCATTAACGAAATCGAACACAATGGAATTTGAATTATATCAATGATACCTGCCAGTAATTGGACTCCCATATTTCAGGGAAAATAAAATCATGTCAGTAGAACTATTTGCGCATGACGGGCGCGAGTGCTAGCCGTGCTAGACTAGACGGTGTCGGTCGATATCGATTTGAACGTTCTCGCTAAGCACTAAGTACGAAGTTATTAGTACAACCGCCCCAGTGCACCAGTTGGCTAGGTAACAAAAAATCGAAATACTAACAAAGATATAGACTTAATAGATATGCCATATCACTATGACCATTGAAATGTATGATTGTCACATTTCGATATTTTAGATCTTTGTTAAAATTTTATATTGTTTTTTTTGCGTAATATTTGTGACGTGAGAACTGTAAATTACGCACCTTTAAGTACAAACGAATCGACATTTTCTTGCGTACAATAATACGGAAACGGCTGTGTACTTAAAATATTCAAATATACACCTAGACCAGGTACATACTTACTGTTTACATGTAAATTCAAAGTGACCGACTACAAACATACATATTGATATGTGAGTAACCACGTCTTATTCTGTTTACATCACGTTTTTTATATTTAAATAGGAACTAATAGGTTAGCCAAAACTGTTAATTAATGTTAATAATTTAATATGATTTGGTGATGACGATGACATAAAGGGTGGCAGTCGTCCAATCAATAATTTGATCACATCGTAAAATGACACGTCTCTACAGATATACATAGAGAAGATCTTATGTTATTGTTGTGAAGAGAAAACTATTAAAACTACTCTATAAAAACCTGTTCAAAATATTATTACAATAGATCGAGCGTTAATCGAGAAAAGTATAAATACCTTGAAGCTAAAATAAGGGTTAATCTACCAAACAAATCGCATCAATAATTAATACACCACATTCTTAATTAATATATAATATACCACAGAGAATCAGACATAATATCTTATGTCCATTCCACATAATTATTTTAAGACTGTTATGTTACTATCATGGTAATCTAAAATTTGATACCACAAAGTAAAGTCAGTATCTATTGAATCGGTAGTCCTCCAAAGTCTTACGTTAATTTAAGATTATTGTTACAGAATAGTTTAAGCTCTTAGCTTATATCAAGGCACGTACTGACAACACTATCTGAGCATTTTCCTTGCATTCTTTATTTAAAATTAAACACGTGTATAATAACTGGCCGTTAATAGAACAAAGATTGAAATAGAGACCGTTGCATTTCCGAACGATAAAATAGGAACAGTTTATTTTCAAACTACCAATTACTCCCGTGGCGTATTGACGCATGTCACGTACTCATGAAGAGCTAGGAGCCAAGGGAATATAAACGGGTTGGTATTTTGAGACGAAACATGATAGCAAAGAACCCCAAGTCGAAGGGTTATAAATTATAACCCGTTTCTTAAGGGTCAAGATTGAAAATCTCATGGAGTCCTTGTGTCAGACTCGTATTGATGAAAACTTCCATAAAACTTCGATGACCTAACTATTTCAACTCAAGTTGCTTGTCAAACTAGGGGATTAAATCAGCGTCTCAAAGAGTCATCAGACCATCACGGATGGGGCCCAATAGGGCTAATGCCGATACAGAGGAAGACTTAACGGGTTACCGAGGCTCCGGTTCGAAATGCGGAACGGGGTGGTTTTTAGTCAGTAAGAGTCTCACACTCCTTCTCGCCTAACCCAAGGCGGGATAACTCATTGGATGATTGGCCCCCTCAAAAAAAAAATGGATTTAAAGAGCCCAAAATCTTTATTCAACAGTTCACGCATCACGTCTGATGATGGTTAGATCATCACAATGACCATAGACATTAAAACTGATTCGTAAATGAAATAATACCATATAGAACATTTATTGCACTACGCCTTTATTTTATTTGTTTTTTTGGTTCATCGTCCTTTATTTAACCTTTGTTTAGTTAGGGCATCGATCGATGGGTGTATTCGATTGGTCTGACTATAAGTCTGATAGCATTGATTGCTCATTCATATTTTATAGTCACTTGTCTGAGCGTGGGTGGTTTTGGGCAAAGAACTTAATTTAAACTGACAGGTTTATTTATAAAAGTACTCTACCAATCTAAATTATCAGAGACGAAATTGAGATTGAAATCTAAATAAAATAAAGTATTTATCTAAATTGGTCCTTATCGAAATAGCAAAGAACCATAAAAGCCGTAAGCAAGTCAATTAGTAAACGCATTGTGCAATAAAAAACTCCAGGTTAAAAACTGTGGTGAAGTCAGGAGTTATTATAATAATTATTTCTACCACAGGTAGTAACTGACATAATTATAAGAGCAACAGCACATACGCACCTCATGTCCATAAATAAACCTAGAACAACGAACTCTAGCGACAAAAAATATGGCAGATGGTAATTCTGTACTCGTCTCAAGGACAAGAATACATTACGACATTATAGAAGACGTTACATACGACATTATAAAAGAAAATAATTTCTTCCTTCTTAACAAAAATGTCTGTAAAGCAATTGAATATAAAACTTTTTATCTTTACATGAGATCTTATCCTTTTATCTCATCTTTACATGAGATATTTAGCTAATTCAGATTGACCTAACTACAATTGTCTCCCGACTAGTAGTGAAGACACATCCTTTTAACAGACTTTTTACAAATTAAACACTAATGTCTAAATGAACACCCTTTAGTGGGAATGGTGATGAAATCCTAATTTGTATCGTAGATGAATGACTTGAGGCAACAAAGAACAGTGGGGTCAATACTGTTTAACATTCACTAATCACCATTAAAACTGTTTAGAAGTACTTACGCAGAAACAATCAATTAGATAAAGAAGTGATAATAGAAAATATTAAACATCCAGTAGCAAGTAAAGAGGATAAAGTAATTATCCTACTTAAGCCTTCTTGATTGCAGCAATTATATTAAGCCAATGCCTGAATTGGCTCTAGCTCATTATATTTTATTACCTGATATAAATTTTATGAAAATACAATTCATTTTGTAGGTAGGTAAAAGTAGGCTGGATAGATTTCTAAATAGTGGAAGTAATTATAAATATATTGCAAAGTAAAATATTACAGTTATATATCATTAGTATCGAAACAGTGGGCACTATTAGACAGTTTTCTTTTCTATTCTACAACGTAATTCTTTGCTGTAAAGTGATCACCAATCAAGTAATCAGCTGCTAGTTCTAAATCATCAACAGTAAAAACGTAATAAAAGGATTATAATTTATGAAACTTTTCTCTCAAGACTATAAAACTTGTTGAATAACTATTGTGTACCTACCTAGTCAAAACTTCATTGGCAGGACAAGTCTCATAAATAAATTTGAAAACGCTGTACTAGCTACGTCTACCTGAATCACTACTACTCATATCAATATAATTAATAATCTTGGCATTCATCTAAAAGCTGAATTGTTTAGTGCTAAGCACATTCTTGGAGTTAATTCGTCAACCGATGGGCATGTTGCCAATAATACTAAACGTATACGCTTCAAAGTGAAACACAAATTAGGTTCAAAAGATATGCAGACGATCATAAATAAGAATATCTTGATCAAAACGGAAATATCGATAGAAGGAATCAATGGTTGTAATGTGGATGATTCGCACAATACTAAGGTAGACAAATTATTGGCATTGCAGCAAATAATACCAATCAATAATGAGTTTAGGATTTGCTCGTGAATGATGCTCTAAAATCAAACATACAGCACACGTCAAGGGAAAATGAGAGACGAATATTACTAAATCAAGTCCTAATCTAGGAACAAAATGAGCAAAACAAAACAATTATTATTTTAAAGTAATGCCAGATGTAGATGGTATGCTATGAAGTGAAAATTGTTAGTTAGTTCACATTTAATAATATTTTCATTCTTATTTATAGCTTTACGCTTCACACCACTTACGATTAACATTATCCAGGCTATAGCGAATAGGTACAGACGTCTGCAAGAAAACAGAAGCAATTTCAATTTAGAAATTAATGTTATTCGCATTGGTATTTGAGATTTGAATCACCCTTCGAGTGCAAATAAATATGGGAACATTATCGATAAGTTTCTACAATTTGAAGTGTTTAGTTTGAAAACGATTGTCTGAAACAATGCAGACATTTGTATCACTGAAGTGATTGTTTATAAAGAACTGGAATTATCTACAGAAGACGCTAATCAATATTTTCTAGATAAGATTGAAGTGGTTGTTGTAATAGCCGCAGACTATGCGGAAAACGACAAAATAAGTCTAAGGTCATTGAATAAAGAAGCATACGTTTTTGTTGTTACAATATTTTTTGTAAACATTCCTGTTAAGTGTTAACTCAAAGACTGCCGTATTGCTCTAGTAGATTTATATGTTTATGATACAAGTACCGATTACGAGGTGGTCTGTTAATTTTTACGATCTAATAGTATACCAAACTGTAAGATAAATATGTTAGAAAACGTATACCTATAAGTTCAATACTCAAATCCAGCTAAAAGTCAATGTATGCCAATTTCTTTGTAAATTGGCTTAACACTAAAGTTCACAGAACCAAACACAAAAGGAATAGACATTACAAACTTTGGCAGAACTAGGTTTCCCCCAGTTTAGTATGCGTCTGCAGTTGTGACGTCACTTATCGTGTTAGCCGTATCTGGGTCATGTTAGACCATATCATTACTCCATGCAATAGACACACTAGAGGCTTCCATCATAGTTTTTATATTTCTTGTCGCTAACGATATATTATGGAACATCTCTCCTCATTTTCGTTACCGAAATTTTTAGGAAACATATATCATTTTATGAAATAAAATAATATAAATACTGGTTACCGTATCTGAAGTTGGACCTAAAATGCAACCTTGTGGAACCCGGAAATCTGTTGCTTCGTAATCAAAATTATATTAATACCTAATATTTTAACGAACAAAATTATAGCAATTATACGTATTCGTACAAATACAAAATACCAATATTTTTCCTCGAGGTCAAACGCTGCTTATCACGCCTAATAGGATTCTAAATCACTATGCCGATGCATGATCCACAGCGTCGCATAAAAACCATACAAGCAACAATAGACGTTAATACATTTATAACAAGGTAATTTTTTCATTCTAACAACGGATTATCATAATTTATTTCTACATTGAAGGCCGCTGAAATCGTAGTATCTTTGTACTGAAATACCACCTGGGTGGCATTATTATCTACGAAGTAGAGTCTACATCATACTAAACAATTGCGAAATTGCGTTTGTTTGTCACGCTTTCACGCGGAAACAGCGGAGCTATTCTCAATGAACTTTAGTACAAAGATAAATCTATATTAACGGGGGTGCATTCGTGGGCTAAAATTAGTCATCTTATTTGTGTCGTTACTATGCACAAAAACTGCATGAGGAAAGTCGTTGTAATAAATTACCAATATCAAGGCTAAACTATAAGGCACACGAAAGATCTCAACAAAAATTTAGTTAAGGTTGGCTAGTGTATTAGCTAACGGCTGACGCCTAATCAAGTAATATTTAACATAACATAAGCATTGTTATTAATATCAATTTCCTGAGTCGTCAAGAAATGCAAGCATGTTTTACTGCACGTTTGCATGATACCAATCGTCACCACGCTTTCTAAGAGACATATCATATTCATCATAATGATTACTTCGTTGTAAGCGCAGTTTTGAATAGGACATCAATACGGTAGTTGACAACTAGTCTAATTCAATACTTTTAACCAAACGTCAAAAACGATACTGTTCTATGAATTTTGTACGAAATATCATCTTATGACGTCGTCATATTTTCGTGTCGAATAGCACACTTATATCTAAAAAAAATGCTAGAACAAATCGAAAATTAAGTATATCGGCAGATCAGTGAATGAAAATGTAACATTATTCAATATTTAATAGGACTGAAAAATTAAAAATAATTTATTTTTGACTCGGGAAACTGTCCGATTTTACATTGGAATTCTTCGAACAGTACGAAATTTGGCACTCATATAAATATAAGTCATAAACTTTTCCTGCATTTAGAGCCTGATAGACCTTCCAGGACAACCATACTTATGGTCTGTTGTTAAGTGTGAAATTCATATGCAGCCAAATGGAAAACAACGCCTTTTATTAGAGTATATGTGGCAATGAATACACGTAATCTCATAAACACACCATTGTTAATAGGTCGTGATAACGCGAGAGAATCAAACGCTCACTCGTTTTCAGAATTGTGTAGTCTGTGTACATTGTTATCATCGTAAACATTATTGTGTGAATCATCCTCGTTTTCTTTAGAAACGATCTTTTTATGAGGACTTTCCAATTCGTGAAGTTTCGTAAGGAAATTTTTAATCAAGTCATCTCGAAAATTATTAACTACTGAATCAGAATTGATCTTACTGAACATGTTCTTTTTGACCTTAGAAATATACTTCGTCTTTAGGTTTCATTTGTTTAGCTTTAGCCACATTAAAATTACTATCCGTTTCTTTTTGTTTACCTGTATAAACGAAAAAAAGTAGTTCATTCAGTATTTAAATTATAACCCATCACTTTGAATCCAGTTTAGTCCGTCATATTTTTGCCCTACTAAGGTTAAGCCTCTCGAGGACACGTAAGCTGCTTGACTACATACACTTTTTGTTTATTTTAAAGGCACGCTTGCCAGTTTCATTTTAGTAACTCTACTGCATTGACTGTATTGAGTAACTAGCTGTAACTCATCAAAGGAAAGGAAGTTTTACTGCCCTACTAAATCTCTTAAGACAAAACAATGTTCACTACTCATTATTCATAGTGTGTACATGGAACTGGTTTCTTTATAGTACTCGGTAACTACGGCCTTGTGGCTATGTTTACTGCATGAAACAAACAACGGTGCTTGTTTTGATGACACTTCCAAGGGCATTCTGCACTATAACTTAATGTTCTTAAAATTTCATTTTGATTGTCAAGTTCTAAACATTCTCGAATGCAATTTTGACAATTCTTAAATACAGATTTTATGGCTGTAGCTCGATTTATCTTGTTAAAGTAATTTAGGTCTTAAATCCTTACCTTAGCAATTAATTTTCCATCATCTCCAATAAGGAACTCTTCCAGTCCAAATACGAGGGGTGAAGCAGTTCCGAGGTGGAATATCCTAGATGACGTCCCTCTTGTTACTCTGAATTCAATGGTCTTCGCCATGAGCACATCAGTGATCATGTACACAGACTTTTTGCCTTGCAAATCTGCAACAAATAAGGTCCCTTTTTAGCCTACAAAGCGAATATTTTAAAACTCAGCTTAACAAAATTATTCTGGTAAACTTTAAATAGGTTCAGTTGGACCAATTCCTATTTCCAAATTCCATTAGGGATATTCCAGAGACATCTATAAATCTACAATCTATCGGAGAAAAACTAATCAATTTTAAGTTGTACAGAATTTTCCGGCTCTGATTTCGCTTTCAATCAAAACACGTAAACAAAATTAAATAGCGATAAACGAAACTACGTTGTTGGTGATTTCCGATATTTTTAAAACGCAAATAAGATAATAGAATTTTTATCCGCTATAAATAAACATGTTGATAGATCGTCACTATGCTACCAAACGTGGAAGGTTTTATTTGACGACCTACGATTGTTTGGTTAGAACAAAACTGCGAAACGATGGCCATAACATTGTATTTATTAACTTTTGTTATTACATAACTGTACATAAGTATTGTTTTCTATTGCTAGACTATAAAAAATGTTTTTGTTCGGGTCAATCTCGTTTTGGTCGCTAGTGTGAAATGTAAATCAAAATAGAGCAAGTTCAGCTCATAGCAAAACTAATTCCATGGGTCTCGTATCATAACTGGAGAAAAATGAATGTGACGTACAACACAAGAAAACATCTACTTTCTCTGTACGTAAATGTAAATAGGCATTAATCACACTTGGAATAGGGTTCATAATCTCCTTACCTTTGTTATTTTCAACGTCCAAATAGATGTTGTTGACGAGATCCTTGTCCCTGGGTACTCTGGTCCTTGTGAAGTTCACCATGATGACCCTGACTTTGTTTTTGATGGCTTCATCTTGCAATGTAATCTGTAAAGAAGATTTTTTGTTAGGGAAACTGTAGATATGCGGTAGGATGGGCAAGGTCATTGCGGATATGGGTATAAAGAACAAGACTATTGCGTCATTGTGTGTCCTAGATTTAGTGTCTAGTTTGTGTATTAATCTTACACCATGTGGCGGAGCATCTGTATTATCTGAATATTCAATGTTTTAATTTTTGCTTGTTGAATCCCTACTTTATTTATGCAATAAAAATCTGATATCAAACGAATAATTCATCATAACATTATTTGGATAGTAAATTCAGAAATGCGTTTACTGGAAAACGTTGCACCAAAATATTTCAGAATCAGCTACTATAAATCACTTGAAACAGGTTTATGTAATTCTGGAGGAGCAAAATTCTATTATTACCACGATATTTTGAGGCCAGATTATCTTAAACTAAGATATAACCACATTATATCGTATTTATTTATCGTATGTAATCGTGTTCTAGCCTCGCTTACCCAGGTATGAATTCTACTTCTCGTCGATCTGTCTATCAGAACATCACACAACAGGGCGTTGACCTACACAACAGTAGTATAACAGTTTTTATAACTATTCTAGTGGGATCGAGGCACTACTTTACAATTCCTTCTTTTTTACTGATGGCAACTATAAGGGATCGAGCGAAAGAAGTTTGCAATAATAATATGTAAACTCTTTGCAAGAAAATTAAGGACCTTATGGCTCAAGAGTTGGATGACTAAAAGCTAAATCTGAAACTTAAATGACAAAAACTGGAATTGAGGAAGACTTTGAAAGAATTCTGGTAAGAGTATTTTTGGAAGTATAATGAACTAAATCCGCGGTACTTAAGTGTTCAAATGGCTTCCTCGTGTCTCGAACTTTCTGTTTAATCACGTTCCGACTTCTGTGTATTCATTGCAGTAATAAAATGAAAGAAACGATAACAATATCACATACGATTTAAAATTAAGATCTGTATCGGTTGAAATGCAAACAAGATACAGATAAGATTAAAATAGTAGTTTCATATGAAAGCCACGTAATATAGCAATGGGACTTGTATTGATTACTGGAAATAGGTATGTTATAAAACGCTGATTTTATTATCCTTTTGTAAATTATTTATTGCAGAAATCAAGGCACATAATTACATAAAGTGTTCATAAAAACTCAGTTAAATATGACTGCAAGAAAGGACATTAATTTATCCTTTCAAGTGAGGATATTTTTAATAACTTTCTAATGTAATGAGGTCCTCAAATTCGGTTCGTAGCTATTAAATATTTATGAAATCCTTGTTTGTAACGAGAGGTTCTGTGAACTTGTGAAGATAAATTTAACTAATTTTACATATATTTAGTTATAGAAGATTTGAAGTCTATTAGCTGTTTAAAAAAGGCAGGCAAAAACTATCTTATCAATTTAATAGCGAAGCCATCAACCCACGCTAATACAACTGGTTTACATCCATGACAATGACACCATTGAAGTTTTACAAATATGTAACGGCGGATGCAAAAATTGATTAAAAGTTAAAACTGTATGATAGGTAGGAATTACCGTGAATTCTTTAAGTTTATTTTTCGATCATGGTAGCAATCTCTAGAAATTCACTATTAAGATGAATAAAACAAATTCTGTCTATTCTGATTTATTACGTTACGGGAACCAAGACAGTTATTCGTGTCCCTGGGACGCGCCGGACTTCAGTGTTCCGGTTTTTTCATGGTTCTAATCTAACTACAGGAGATCCTGAATTACAGGAGCTGTAGCGGTTTTGGGAGATTGTGGTGTTTGTCCCATTAAAAAATAATCTGTTGAAACATCAATGAGCATAAATTCCTACTAGCACACGTATACTTTTTGTATGATTCATGATTGATGATACCTAACTACTAACTACCTAGATTTAATGGGAAAGTGTAGCTACATTTAAACATGTTTTATTTTAACAGATTATTTATTGTTAACTACCTAATAAATAATCTGCAGTTAATTAGGTTTCTAGTGTACCTACAAAGAGAGCTGACTAATCGCACGTACGCACGCAAAATGCGTTCTAAACAGTTTCAGTCATCGTAATCATCCAACATTTAGGAAGATTTATAATCAAGAACATATTTTCTAGACTGCGAAAGAAAATATAGGAAAGCCAGATGGCTTAACGAAGTATGAAATCAAATGTTTGTAAAAGGCGGGAAAAGTCATTAGACGATATTCCTCACTCGAAAAAAAGGTGATTTACTGAAACTGATAGTTTTATTACGAAAATTGGTGTTTACTGGAAACAGAATTTACAGAATCAACTGCTTTGAACTTCCGAGAATATAAATAATAACACTTTTCCTCACATCCGTTTATTCATGGAATAAATACAATCAAATCATATTGATACCGTCGCATTAATATTTGCTCACATTTTATTTCATAAGTCATAATGACACTCCATCTATTTTTGTATTGATTATCTCAATAAGGTATTATTTTTAACTAGCTGTTGCCCGCGACTTCGTCCGCGTAGAATAATGACTTCTGGCAGAATTTATGCTTTTGAATTAGTCTTAACCAAGGGATATTCTACGGTTACGAATGTCGTCAGAAAATTGATTCAGTACCTAGTATAACGTAGCAAGTATTGTGACTCAAAAGGCTGCAATGAAAATTGGGCTATGCATTACAGTGTTTTCACCTAAAAAGACGGGTTTTATTGTTTCGGTGCTTTCTTGAAGCGGTTGGTCTCTTTGGGGTCATATTAACACATCGAATATTCTTGTATTTTCATTTTAGTTTAAATTGAGATAAAACTGCCGCGCGCAACGTTTATCGTGAAAAATTAGTCATTAAACAATTTCCTAGTACATGGTCGGCAACGCACTCGTGACATCTTTCTTTCTGCAGGTGTAACTTAACAACTGGACCATCAAGAAATCCCCTCAGTGAGACTAGGTCCTTCAGATTTCAGGTGCACCGGTAATGGGCAGTGAAATGGCTACAAAAATCGGTATGTTGGTTCGCAATCCTAACAATTAGTTGTTTGGTTTCATCTTTTGGTTGACTGGTTTCTTCGCGACATAAACAGCCGTCTCCATGCACCGAAATAAGCAGGAAATGAGCTGAGAAATAGCTCATGAGAATTCACGGGAGCGTTAAATTCAATAACTTCGAGGATATATTACATTTCATTTTTCATGTAACTATGTGTAAATTACACTATGGAATACATCGAATAGTCTACAAAAATCATGTTCTCAAACGCGATTACATAATAAGAGGAGTACAAAAATTACCTTTTTTTTTCAAGGAACTAATCCAAGGTGCAATTTTCCCTTGTCTGCCCTTTTTTTCTAACTGCATCCTTACTAATATTATAACTCTGAAAGTGAGTTTGTTTGTTTGTTTGTTCCACCTTCACGCCGTAACTACTCAACCGATTGCTTTGAATTTTTGCAGACGTAAAGTTAGAAGTCCGGATTAAATAATAGGGTACTTTTTATCCCGGAAAAAATTGATATTCCCGAGAAAAAACAAAAGTATTGGTATAGATGGCGCTGTGTGTATTGGTATATGTCACATAGGCGAAGCCGGAGAAGCCGCGGGTAAAAGCTAGTATTCTATATTTCAATGACAGCTCTGAGAGTCAGCAAAATAGTTAATAGAAGCACAGTGCTATTTGGGGCAACCAGATGTAGTCTTGCCTTTGTGGTTCTGGTTTATTTACAAACATTTCAAATCAATCTTGGCCTAAGTACCTATTTAAGATTACCTATTAGGCAAATATTTTTGAAGTTTACTTTAAAAAATATATTTTTTTATACCTACATCGAATTATCTAATAAGAAATTTATATAATTAAGCTGTTTATTAAGCAATTGTATTAAAATAATCTAAAGAAGGGTTTATAAATGCATTGATGGTCTGATATAACAGGATTATAGTATTAAAGCAACTATCTTGTAATCAAATCTTAGTTATGAACTTGTAGTAGTTATCAAGAAGCCTTGATATTGATCTTAAACTTTATACCTATTACGATAGGATATGTTTCAAGTTGATTGATAAAAGTAATTCCCCAAACTGTTTACTTAGCTAAAAGGATGTAAGTACATACATAGACATAGATACTTGGTTAATTTGAAGTATTGCTTCAGTTTTTGAAGTAGATATTCTAAATAAAACAATGACTAAGTAGCTTGAATGATATATACTTATCTAGCGAATTACATACTTGGTTACCTATATTTCCATATACCTGTATCAAAACTAGTTCAAGTATCTTATTCATTAACCTGCTTTTATAATATGTTTTACATTTATATGATCACCGCCAGTGGGTTGCAAGTGCTACTGCTAAGTAAAGCCCTTACTTATTCAATTTATAGGTAAGAATCTGAAACGAAAGTATTATAGTGAAGAATCTGAATCAGAATTTGGAATAACCCACTACATGATAGAAGACATTGTGTGAAAACTGAGTGTAATTATTTAACTAGCTTCTGCCTGCGAATTTGTATGCGTACCTATCTCGTTTTATATGTTCCCATTTGCGATTTTCAGTATCCTATGTCCGTCTCCTGGTTCTAAGCTACCTCCCCACCAATTTTAACTAACACAACTTTCTTTTATACATTTTCATATATAGTTAATATGTGACTCTACTTAGCACTTCTAGGAATAAAAGATTATAATGTGATGAGGAACATATACCTACTTTACTGATTTATATAACTAAAAGGGAGAAGAATTTGTGATCTCATTGTTGCTTGCTAAAGTTAATAAATTATGAGCCAAGATCTTTTTTTTCTACAGTACTTTATAATGACTTTTATTTTGTTTTTTTTTTATTGATGTTGGTAGAACCCTAATTTATAAGTGTAGCTGTCCCTTGTTAATCCAATAATTAAGAAGCCAAAGAAACAACAGCTGATGGACTACTTTTGTATTAGCCATAACACAATCAATGTTTTTAAATGGGTAATAGAGTATAGAATATTTTAGTAAAAATGTAGAGTAAATAATTATTGAGGGTAAACTCTTATCAAGTGATACAAGGACTCCATTAAAATGAGACTAAACTAATTTCTAATTTTAGGCAAATTTACACCTAAAACCCTTTGTCATTAGATATAACTAGTTTATCAATTGAGGTATAGTTTTAGAACATGCTACTTTCAATATTAAGAGGTTTTCCTATACCTTTAAGTGTCTGTTTTCCTTAAATAGAACAGCACTTAGTTTTTACTATTATTCTTTAATTATTACTGAATAAGTGTAAAAACAACCAACACTGGAAGTACCTACCTAAGCATGGTAACTCAATTACCTCAATACTAAATCTTTAATGCCACTAAAATTAACTCTATCATTTAATAAAAATCTTATAGTCACACCATAGTAAGTGGCTATTTTCTAGACTTATTAGCTACACTAGTAAAGCTAATTAGTGTTAATGCAGTGTCCTTTTTACAATTATGCCAGTACATAGTGACCTTAGCCGTTAATCTAATGGATAATGCATGGCAGGCATTAGACAAACAAATGTTGCATTATTCAGGACTGCAAATGATAGTAGGCATGAATGGTTGCATGTTGCATGCTCTCTTGGGCATCATTTTCTACTGTGAAGGTTGTATATACCATAGACAGAATTATAATAGCTCTTTTTTGAAATAAATATTTTGTATAGTGCATTTAATATTTCTTTTTATATATTGGGTGGTGTTCTTTTATTATTCTACTAATAAATTTAATACTAACTTGGATAATATTTTTCAATCCAGTTATAGCCTTTAGGCAGTTATTTATGCCTCAATTTTAAATGTGGAAAAAACAATGGTTTACCCTGACAGAGATTACATAGTACGAAAGAAAGTTCTTATTATTTTTTATTTATAATACTGACCTTTACGCTTTCATGGGGAAACTTGAAATCACGTTCTTGAAAGTCACCTTCTTCAAGCCATTGCACATGTTCGGAGGTTGATTTCTCCTTGTTTATGTTCTTCACCAATTCGCCGAGTGGCGTGAACATTTTACCGTTTGTTTCCTTCTCATTTGGAACGAATAGGGATGTAACTTTATACAAATCCGCTTCGGTAATATGAGGAATACACACCAACTGACTGCTGCCGATTTCAATCTCAATTTCGTCTCTGATAAACGGCCAAGCATCCTCTAATTTGAGAGACTTTAAATTTTCCAAGCTAACATCTTTACGGATTTCGTGCGAATATAGCGATTTTACTACTACTTTCAGTTTTTTCGGCATTTTGATTTATTATTTCCAACGTAATTTTCTCACACAACACAAGTACTGTCTCAGCAACTGTCAACGAAAGACTGACAACTTTTTTCTCTTTTCTCACTGAATTTATGCTAGCGGTACAGAGAGAGATAGATAATATGATCGATACGAGCCAATCGAATAAGCGTGAAAGAAATAGCAATACCAGTAATACCATACATTGGTTCAAATATTCCCCGTGTCATAATATATATTTTTATTTTGCCGCTTAGAATTTTAATTTGATATTTTCATTTCTTAGTGGTCGTTTCCGAAAGTGCTGTTAATAACTCATATTAAGCACATGTTGAAATATTCATACCTTGAGTAAAGAAACAGAGCACACAGGAAGCTGTAACTGCGACCAAATGTGGGTAGACAGCAGCATCGGTTACCTAACTTCTAAAAATGAGGTCCTCGAGTCAGTTGCTAAGGGTGAAGACTAGTGAGGAGCATAAAATAAAAGACGTAATAGTCCTTCTTTAAAGAGGGAAGCCTTCAAACCTTTGATCCAAGTTCAAATGATAAATTTAAAAAATTCATACAACCTAGTTGTTAGTAAATATCATCATTTAAAACTTGGAAAGCAATTTAATCACCCACTCTATGATTTATAGCGAACAAAATATTTCCAGGTTATAATTAAATTACCAAGAACCTTGGCTACGAGGAAAACACGGCATCTCTCGATACGTCACGCTGTTGTCACGCGTAGCTCACGCAACCACAGCGTTGTTTCGGTGTCTTCAAACATGCAGGATGCATGCGGAGTTACGATGCTGACTCAGCCTAGTCATAGTTTTCTCACGACTAATCCGCGCCAATTTTTTGCATGGTCTATCTGACGGAAAATGACGAAATTTTAATTTTGCCAACTACATGACTACATCACGCTACCGACTTCTACTTTTACAACATATTTTAACGATATAGCGTGATACTAATAAAAGTAATATTTTCTTCTATATAGATTAGGTAGGTACTTGGTAGCCAATAATATGAGCGCATAGTTAATAATTTTCTTGCTGAAAAGCGCGTTACTCTTTCTTATTATTGCTATTCTTATGCTTCTATTTCTTATCTATGCTTTCTTATTATATTAAAAAAAGCGTTACCTACTGCCGAGGGGTAGGCAAAGTGTATATCCATTTTATAATTTATTAATGGGTCTTGATGCGTTTATTAAATGTGCATGGGAAAATGGCTGGAACCCAAATTCGTACGGAACTCTGCTACACCACAGACTATTAAGTACCTATAGGTAATCACTATTTCACATTAGTATTCTGTGAAATTCTATTTGAAGGGCTATTTGTGGCTTTTCGGCCGAAATCCGAAAATACTCAGTAACACTTTGCCCGACTCGGCCATCGAAGTCCTCATTGCCGGGACGCGGCAGTATAAAAGTGACCTTACAATAAACTGTAGGTAGTTAATTAGTTAAGCCTTTAACTGCCGGCAAAAACTATTAATCCTTCGCTATCGTCAAACATCATTGTCCGACACGGCATCAAATGTGTAAAGCATCTCAGGATAAATAAAAAAAACAATAAATGTTAATTACAAATTATAATACTCATAAGCTTAAAATTAAAACAATTTATTAAAATCATTATCATTAATTATAATAAGGCAGGTTTTACAATAATATTTTTTGAATGATAGATGATAGAGAGCATGATGAAATATAACTTCATTATAAAAAATATGAAATGGAATGTCTATACCTGGCTATTTATGACATCACAACAAAAATAAAATAATAACATTCATTTGAATTACATTTATAAAAATTATAGTAAATCTCAATAAATAAAAATGTCACATATTGGTAAGCAAAATAAGACCTTGTTTTCAAGAGATGTGCAAGTGGAATTCAACCTTATGGTTGAATAATTACATAGTGATTAATTTCATTTCCAAAGTTAGCATGTTTGAAAATTTTACACCTATTTTACATTAATACAATTACTTGCAAAATTAAGAGTTTAATTTCATATTATTTTTGCAAGTACTTATACATTTACATTATCAATAAGAAGTGCTAAAATAAATTACACAATAATAGCATTGCTTCTGAAGCTAAGCCTCTTTACAACACAATCTCCTTGCTGTCAGTTTGACAGCCCAAAAGGCAGTGCATAGAGTCTTTGAAATTAATATAAAACCTCTTGCATTAAAAATGAAAGTAGGTAGTCTAGTGGATATCCATACCTTATTTACATCGAACAATATACTTTCTACTCATCAGTGCCTCCCACTAGACTACTCATATGACTAATGCATAAGTTTTATATTCATATAATTTTTATCAAGGCTGAAAGTCTTTACTAATTTTATATGCACAGCATTTTAAACAATTCTTGCACCTAATTTTAAACAATTCGATAAAAGCAAAGTATACCATTATGGTTGAGATTCTAGAAAGTTATCATTAATTGTTAAGATCATCTGGACTGTTTTCACCGTTCAAGAAGATTTTCTGAAGAAATTCACAAGAATTTAATTTTGGATTGGTTACAAAGGTCCTAGGACTTTCAGCCTTACACAGATTCAAAAGTTTCCCCAGCTTTCAGTGTTGCCACAAAGCATTTGCAGTGTTTCCACAGTGTTGCCAGCTCTGAATGATAGTGTGGCCATGTCCCTCAAAAACTTAAATAATTTTACTTCTTGCCAATATTAGGTGTGGTGGATTGGAAAACTGATGAAGCCGACATTAAGTTCTCAATGTACTGTCCTAAGACTTGGTTCTCTGAGCGAAGTTTTAAATTTTCTTCTTTTACTGAATCCACCCTCTGTGACAGATCTGAAAAACAAATATGAATTTTGTTACTTGTAATAAACATAGCATTATTGTTTTCATGTAATGTATAATATAAAGGGTGTTAATGGAATGCTTCCGAAAAATGCTGACAGGTAATGGTAAAAAACGAGTTTAATTTTCATAAAAGTTAGGAATTTAATGTTTCTTTTATGTAATGATAGTTGGTCAACTGCTCAAGGCTGGTGTTGCATGAATAGCATAAAAACAATAACAATTCATATTTTAAAAACTATTTCTTTTTGTCAGTGTTTCGGAAGTGTTCCTGTACATAATACACTATCTACTATAACTAATGCAACAATAGTGTCCACAACAACAACAACGGATAGTCACAATCTAAGTATTACGAGTGACAAGTGACGCCAAATTATTACTAAGCAGTTGTACTTTCAACCTTGCATCCATTAATGCATTGTTTACATTTTCCTCTTCTTTCCATTGTAAAAATTAAGTACCTAGTAGTTATAATTTTATTTTCAGCCAAAAGTTTATAAATGAAATTAAAACTGTGCTAGTATTTTATCGTTTACTATACAAATTTCCAAGTGATTCAAATAATGTAAACACCATGTGTCATAAGCTAAACCAATTACATTACAGAGATGATTAATAGAAATCTTACCATCTAGCGTATTCTGCAATTCCAACACTTGTGATATAAGACGGGCCTTTTCTTCCTGTTCATCAATTCCGGAATCTGGCTCGAAACTAGGTGGCCCATTAAGGCCAGGGCTTGAGGAACCACCAGTGTAGGAACTCGGCAATGAGTCCATTGAACGACCATGATCTAAATGGTTGTTTTCTATTTCATCGTTAATTATCACTTGTGGGTCGTCGTCTGCTAAAGGTATATTATCGTCGTTACACTTCTGCATGGTTGATCGTTAATATTTGATTAGCCGGCTGTTTTAAATTAATAAACTCTTAGAAAATGGGGCGAATATCGATCGATTTTTCGTTTTGTTTGAAGTGACGTTTCCATTTGTTTTGACATGACATTGAGGGTGGGTTTACGAAGCACCTCACACATGAAATGATGTCAATGCAAATGATTGCTTATTTATAAAACAAATAAATATATAAATAAAGCAATTATATATTTTAAATACAAAAATGATTGATTGAATTAACCATTTTCAAACAACTACTTAACAGGTATTTTTATTGAAGCTAGCATTAATGTTCATTATACAAATAGAATTAATAACATAAATTTTAGATTAAATTAAAATTTTTGACTGAAGATTGTTTAAATTAATTGTACCGCTTCTATATTTTTTAACTAATTGAAAAGACCTTATTTCTCCAGAAGTTCAATAAACATAACGAAACATATCTGTCAAAGTCAAATCTTACAAGAGTAGGACTGCAGGAGGAATGTTTTATTTTTATTACTAAAAAATCGATTAAAACCCCTTGATATAACAAAATTGTTGATATCAAGACCTACTTTTGCAATGGCATTAGCTATTAGATGGTCTTCGAGTGAGGTTTTTGGGGCAGCGAAATGGTTCATAAGAAGAGGTTAGAAAATACCTTAAGACTTTTATTTACGTTATTATCAATCAAATACCTGTAATTTCAATGTTAATTGCAGATTGTCGTGCCTTATCAACTATTCCTGAAAGGGCTGAAGAACAAACTGTTTTACCTAAACGTGAAAGACAGGCGACATCTCGAGTTCGGATTAGTGCAAGAAATCCAAACTTGGGCTTGCGACATGCATACCCTGAATTTCTGCCTGACCCCAACCCAAAATGGAGGAACAGTCTGCGCGAGAAGTTAGAAAGAAGTGACATGCTGAAAAGACGCAGTCAGATTGATATACCTGAGTTTTATGTTGGTAAGTGTATCAATTCCTAACTTAAGCGATATTTGAATCTGTAATACTGTACCATATTCACTATTATTTTATTAAGTATTATTCATGTGAAAGTATCATTTTTACATAGAATATTGCATAATTTTTACTTTCCAAACACAAAAAAGTTTATTTCGTTTATTTATATCCAAATGAATAGGTTACTCACAAGCTGAAATTGTACATCATCACTTACCACCATGAATTTCTGCCATCACTTTCCTTATTAAAAAGAAATCTTTGTGGGAGTCTGAATAGTGCCAATAATCCATTTTTTTTTATCATCTTATTTCAGGTTCAATCCTAGCTGTGACCATAGCTGATCCCCATGCTCAGGGCAAGACCAACAAGTTTGTTGGCATCTGCATTGAGCGCAAAGGATGTGGATTAAGAGCTGAGTTCACATTGAGAAATGTTGTTGATCATCAGGGAGTTGAGGTTTGTATTAATAATAGAACTTGTAAATGCTAGTGTGAGAAAGATTGTTTTTTTCTCCCATCCTTCCATTGCAATCACTTGCCAGACCATAAACAAATTAGTTGAGAACCAAATGGCATTGTGGTGGCGCAGCCAGTGCTGCTTCTCCTACTTATAGAAAGTTCTATCTTCTATCTATCTATCTTCAGCCGATTCACCACTGCAATCGGTTTCAATGGTTCAGCTACAAGTTCAGATGCAAGTTAAAGGTTCCTTAAACTGTCAAACACCAAGCGGTCACCGGTGACCGCAACCTATTGTTCTTTAATTGTGTCTATAAAACCGGTACTCGACGAGTTAATGCACAAGAAAAATAGTTATTAGAAAAATCAAATAAGCATATTGCAACATCTTGGTAAATCAAATCAATAAATGTTGTAGGCCTATCATCTATGATGTAACTGACATAATGTGTATAAATGGAAAGCAATACCAATGTTTTTAAATATTAATATTAATAGGACAGTAATTATGAGAATTGTGTTACTAACAAAGTTATCAGTATATACATAGTAAGTTTATATTATTATAGTATGTAAAATGTGCAGACTATTTGATGGCCTCGTTGGCCAAGTGATTGCAAGGGCGACTGCCGAGTAAGGGTTTCTTATGTGGGACAAAGAATTACGGGTTTTTAAAAATCTCAGTATTAGCACGGATTCTGGAAATGTGCCCGGTATATAGCAATAGGCTCACCCCTAATACATGGGACTCGTAACATAAATAGTGAAAAGTGGATGTTACATTGTACAGTGGCATTAAGTGGCGAAATGCGCACCTCTGCATAAGCAGAAGGGGTAGCCCTTCGGGGATAAAAAGGCGTGATGTTATGTTATTTGACATAATTTTTCAACTCTAAATATTTTGTTAATAAATATTTGATTAATGAATTTGTTTGAATTTTAAGATTCTAGTTGGAAGAAATAATTCTCGTTTTGTAATCAAGTAAAAAAATGGTTTCTGCTACTGTTTTCAGGTGAGGTATGATCTCTATGACCCTACAGTGCAGAGTATCCAAGTTCTTCGCCTTGAGAAGCGGCTGGATGACAAACTCCTCTACTTGAGGGATGCTCTGCCTGAGTACAGCACATTTTCCTTCGACATGGACCCTGAAATCTTGCCTGAAGGCACACCAGTACCTGTCAATCCTGTGCAGGTTTGTTTGTATAACATTGTTGTAACTAATTAGCTTTTTCCAAAGAGGAGCCAAATTAAAAGTACCGTTAACCGACAACTATGCATGAAAAGACTGTGGATGTAGTGAAAGAGATATGTAAGAATAGTACCTATTGACATTCCATAGTCTCTACCTACCCCCATTAGAAACAGGCGTGAGGTGATGTATGTAGCTTTTGCCACAGATTATAGGTGTTACTTATGCAAATCTAATCACATCATCCATTCATATTACATTCTCATAGATGAACAGATGAACCTCATGAAGTTAAGCTCATTTTGTATTTTCTAGGTGAAACTAAAGCCAAGACCCTGGCTAGAAAGATGGGAAAGACAAGAATTGAAAGGTGTTGCCAATATTGAGGAGCATTTGAAGGAGAAGGACAGAGTCAGGAGGGAGTTGAGGGCAACACCGTGGGAGAAATATGACTTGATGAAGCAATACAGGTAATATAACGTTGAATAGAGCTTTATTATCCTATAATAGTTATTTATATTTAATGTGACTTTATTTTGGTGATTCGAGTATCAAAAACATAATTAGACATTCTTTTCAAGGTCTAAATCCAGAACATTTTTAATTTATGTGACTATTTATTTATTATTTTAATGGAAAAATACAATAGACCCGTTTTTAGAGTAAAAAAGAGTGTAACTAAACCCCTTTTTTTAAAGAGAAATTTTTTACCAAGTTTAATATTGTCCTATTTATACTATAATCTTTTCTTTTAGAAACACTATACCAATTGAAGACCAGAATAATATTTGGGCGGAAGTTAACCATCAACTGAGGCAGCTGCAACTCACGCGCAAGACTACTGCAAGGAAACGCACATTTACTACCCCCAAGTCACAGCTTGGATAGAATCTTAGATTTTATTGATTATGTTCAAAAGTAGATTAATAAAGTACATATTGTTACAAATATTTCTAGTTTTATTAAACACAGATATCTCTATGAGAATGACCTACATACAATTTTGTCTAGTATACCTTCTAACTAAATACTACAGTAAGTGATAATCGCCCTTGTAATTTATTTGTCCAAAACAAACTATTAGATCGTCATTATTTCTAGAGCTACGAACACCGGTATGTACAAATCTTAGTTATAACAAAATAGCTAGCTTCAAGTTTGTACAAAATATTTTTATATGAATTTGTTGCGTAAACGTATTTTGTTTAAAATTGCTAAATTACAAATTCATTATTACTTTAGTCAAGCTTTGGCTTTACACAGTTTGATTTATTGCAAGATTTCTTTAGATATAACAAATTGCTGTAAGGCAGTAAATATTATTTCTAAATTAAAATTGTATAGTTTAAATACTTCGTGCTAAGCTAGCAAAAACAAGACGCATTTGGATGTCAATCCTGTCATAAGTTTGTTCATGCTGATAACAGATGGCGCTACAAGCTGTATTTTTATATTTTTGATTGTATTCGTTTTGTAAAGATAAACTTATGTTTTTTATTATGACTATGATTACCTTTATGACATTTTTTTAAAATATATTACATTATTAATAGATAATCACAAAAGCTTGATATTGTGTCATGTCGTGGCCGTGGTATGAGCCCGGAAGGTTTTATGCATGTACGTAGAACCTTCAATTATACAATCAAAAATAGCCCTTATGTTCTTTGCAGCAGTGATTACATTGATGATAATCCAGTAAGTTTGCTTTGCTTGCTTGCGTGCGGCGCGGGCGGTCCGTGGAGCGAAGAAGTTCGCTTATTGTTCTTGAATGCACTTTTCTTGTATACCAAGCGAATCGAATAGGAAATACAAGAGAATTGAATAAAAATCGTGTTGTTTGTGCTGAATCAGTGAAGTGTACAAAAGTTTTTGTGAACTTGTTTGGTTACTGTGTTGAAATTGCATGTTGCACTTGATACACCTGTCGCCCGGTAAGTAATATTGTTTATGTGCTTATTTTTGCGAAAATATGTTGCGATGTTAGTTGTAAAATGATCATGGCAGGTAATTATATTGGGTATACCGTTACGAGTATGTATGTAGTTACGGTATCTCTCTTCTAAATTACGGATTGTTGGTGTCATAAAATTGCAACTGCAGTCGGGCCAACCAGTATTTATCGATTGTGACGCATTGTAGGTAACTGGTCAGTAGCTGTTACAGCTCGATTTTACAACAAACTTTATCTTGAAATAGTTTTACTAACTTTCCTTTAAAAGTTTATTTAGAATTGTTAAGTTGAAGGAAGTAAACAGTAGTACTAAGTTGTGTTTTGTTGCTTATGTATGTATACTATATACAAGTTGACCTTTGCCATTTAAAATTCTTTGTAAAGTAATTTATTACCTATTTAGTTAACATTCATTTTCCCTTTAGGTAAGTTCTGAGAAGAACTGCATTGCATCATGTTTTAATTTTTACTGCCGTCTCAACCAGTGCTACATTTTACCTAATTATGATATTATTGCATATAAAATTAAGCATTAATTAGCCATTACTTATCTATTTAACTTATTTATAGTTTTCAAAGTAATTAATTAGTTAGTTTTTTAAAACTATTATCAAGCAGTTAGGTAGTTTTTGAAATAATTTTAGTAATCGCTTCATAATGTTTCAGAGAACAAGTAAAAGAAGTATATTGTACTGTATAAACACAATGAAGCATTTATGAAGTACAAGTTGCAACCTTGTACTCATAATAATAAAAGTTGGTCAGCAAAATGTTTTATATGGTTTGTCATTTGTTTAAAACTAACAATGTGTGAAGATTTATTTACTTTAAAACTTTAGTATGAGTGTTATTTTGTTCTAATAAGAGTTATAATTGTGGATGAAATAATTAAAAACATAGATTTGAGAGTCATAAGATAAATACTTTATAATCAGATGGTTCACATGGAGTAACTGCAATGCCATTCCCAATGAATAAAATTCAATCAATATGCTATTCATTTAACTTTGAATTCTACAAAGGTCTTGTTGAAAGCTTGTTCTGCGAGTAACAAATATTCAACATTAATCGAGTTGTATCCACTGCGGCTAATAGGTCCCCCAATAGCCCCGATCTTGATTTTCAGCGCTTCATATGCCAGCCACCGAGTGAATATCTTCATTTCCAGCTTATCATTGTTGCCAAAAATAATATTGGTCCATCAAATATTATTGTGCGTATATTAGCGTATTATTGTATCAAGGAGAATTAGGTGTTACTCAAAAAGTAAGTAACAAAAAACAAATCCACTAATTACCTACCTACCTATTTTGTACTTAAATTAACATACACTTGCTTTTGGGCCAGTTAGAACCAATCCAGTTAAAACTGACAATTGCTCAGCTGCTACATCAGCACTGTCATTTAAAAGGGTTTAAAGTTATTTCCGAAAATACGTCGCCATGTATGTCAAACTCAATATGAAGATATCTTTTTTATTACCTAAAGGCTGGCTGGAAAATGTCCTGCAAGCAATAAAAATGTTATAAATTCGACTTGCAGGGTTGTAAACATGTTTCGTTGACACATTTTCAAACACCTTGGGTGTGTTCACGTGTGTGGGGGTCGTTGACCGATAATCCAATCACTAATGACAGCTTACGACTGTGTTACGACTTACAGGGAATGTTACACCATAGAACTGATCGCAGTTGATTTGTAATACATTGAAGTCTTACTAAAACAGTGATAAATTGGCGTCGTATCGAGAGCAACATTAACTATTATCTTACGAATACGTGCGAAGGATTTAATGAAAAAAGACTATAATGTTTTGTTCTATTTTTACATTTAGGGGCCTTTTTTAATGAGAAACTTATCAAATTACCGCCCTGGACGAGGCGGAAAGGAGTATCAGAATGTTACTGGTTAAAAACTACCCCGTTTTTTTTCTGCCGACCTACGCGCCTGGGCCTCTCTGCCTTCGGTACCTGTACCTATATTACTCCTTACTCGCAATACTATAGCTGAAATATATTGTAAGTGATTTTTACGAGAATACACTTTATGACCAAGTAGTATACACCGGCAGTTCAATCTGTTTACACCTTTTATAACCCCTAATTAAGACCAAGAAAATTGGTGCTTTAAATCAGGTAATAAACTTACAAAATTCTTAGATTTATGGAGTGCGTGCATGTCATTTAGTTGATGTAATACAACACGTGCGTTACGACAGCGGAAGGCGACAATAAAAACAATATGGCGTCGTATACTGGAGGACATAGAACATCGCACACCTGATTGAAGTGTCATGTCACTAAACTTTACTAAACTTCCAGTGTATTTTTAGTTGCGTAACTACTTGAAACTTCAAAGCTTTTGTTAACATAACACACCATCCTTTACATGAACACGAGATATTTTTTATAGTCAGCTCGAGTTTATATTTGAATATCGTGAGTCATTTTGAAAAATGGAAATGTTTCCGTCACGGAAACTACTGGTTTCCGCTTGCCACTGCCTAGTGCCTCGTTGGTGATTGATGTCTTCTTTTCGCATAGAAGTACCCGATTAATCGGTGTCGGATGTGAGATTTTCAGTCTGATAAGTGATAATGATAACTCACGGCTTAACGGTCACGGAAAACAAGTCACTCACCAACGAACTAGTTAACAACGTAGTTTGGTTTGTTGTTTATTGATTTGTTTAACATATGCGACAATATTGGCGACGATATCTGCAAGAAACAGAATGATTAAACTGTATAAACGCGCTTGAATAACTATTTCTGATACAATCAATCCGACAATCCGATTATTTAGTTTACTAAGCGTTGAAACAGAAACTGACATAAACCACTTTTAGAACGACCGATTGAATTTCAGTTATGTTAACTAGCATCAGACCATAATATTTGTACAGTAACTAAGTTTAAGATAATAATGTTGTTATCTGATAAGGACGAGATTTCCTAAGTCAGGTATTTGGGTCAGTTTGGTTAAAGATGCAGTACCTTTCGATATCAGGTCGGCGACCTTCCGTCTGCCGGTCAATTTAGAAACTAACCGATCCCGTGCTCTACCAGTTTCTGTACCACTTTCTAAGCTTAATTACTCGCCTTTTCCAGCTCTTGTTTGGTACTACACATTGTCAACGTTCTTCCGCGTCATTATCGCGATTCAAAAACCATTTAAAACGCTGACCGTTGCTTGGGAATGAGAAATTGTTCCCGTTTTCTCCTGTTAGGTCAATTTACGGATGTTAGTTCCTAAACAAAAAGTCCAAAAGTAATGTTTCCGCCCGGGATCGAACCGGGGACCTTGTGCGTGTGAAGCACACGTGATAACCGCTACACTACGGAAACCACAATGATGGTGTGCAAAAATAAGTGCTAATTGCGACAAATAGATCTAGTTATGAATTATGATCCGATTTTTCGTGGTAGAAGTAAGAAACAGCCGACCCTACTAATGATAACTTTAGACCCGTTTCATTCCCACACTTCTCTAAAGCGTATTCACTCTACAGTGTAAAAGCAAACTAGCAATTAGTCTCCACACACTTCAATTAACCCTGACGCGTTGTAGACATAAAATGAAGAGCTAATTGCAACAAAGGGCTAAACAAAAGGCTCATCTCGTTGTAATACAAAGTGTTGATTCATCGCGTGCCTACAAGGGGCTACACGCAATACCATGGCCAGAAGATGCTGTAAAAAGACAGAAGTTTATTAAATAAAGTGGTACTGTGACGTTGTTTTAACTTAAACAATTAGCCGTTACATTGATTAATGTTTACCACGGTGTGTATAAATCAGGTCTACTAAAACTATTTGACGTGGGTATAGACCACTCCTTTGAGCTTATTTTATTATTTCCGTCGCTTTAAGAACTCACTGTTCCATACAATGTGTACAATCGCTACTTATGTACTAAAATAGTTTGATTTATAACAGTTAATTTGAATTCAACTTAACACCAGTTACTTTGAACCGATACTTCCGTCACTAGATCGCGAACTATTGAAACGTTTGCAAATATTTGTGCTAACAGTAATTTTGGTTAACAGCAGCTTTATTATGTTTTGGACTAGTATGTAATACAGAAGCCTATGTTCTTGCTATAAATGAATCTACTAATAGATTAACGTATGTATATTAAGTCGCTGTCAAAGGCATAATTGAATGGTATAAGCAATAGTCCGATAATGACGCTTGATCGGCATTATTCGATAATACTTGCGCAAGCATAGACAGGCCGTGCTGTAATTATGTGCACAATGCAGACACTGCACATAGCGATGCCAAGGCCAATGTTCTTTGATATGTGCGGTTTATACCTATATCTAGTTTCACATGTTCATTTAGGTTGCATTAAAGTTCCGTTCTCATAGAACTTTTCTATGCGGTTGAGATTTTGATCTATCATATTTGTAAGCAATGTTTTAGGTCCTGTCGGTTCGGCCCTGGCGTTTTTTTTTTCTTTTTTTTAAAAACGTTGCCCCACTTTAGGATTTACTCCTGTGTTGTGGGTGCGTTTACAAACATACAAGTTCTCATACACATTGACACCCAGACCCGAAACAACAATCTGTAGATCACACAGAGTGTTGTTCCGTGCGGGAATCGAACCCGCGACACGTTGCACGGCGGCCGGTTGCCCAGCCACCGCACCAACCTTGATTTTGCTTTTGATTTGCAACCTTGATTTGCAACTTTGAAGTGTGGATTGGATGGCAAACAAGACTAGATTTATTCCATTGGGTGGTATTGGATTTTCTACCTCATTATGAAGTCTATAGTATTTTGCAGTACGCAGTTGTTCCCACGATAAAGCGATAATTTACTATATAGAATACGTTGACGTACTAATATTTCTATTCAGCTTGCTGTTTAAATGTACTCCAACTTATTAATATTCGGTATTATAGAATTAGAAAACGTGAGACTCCGTTGTTTTATATTATGTGCCTTAATACGGAGATATCTCCTGTTATGAA